ATTCAATATCTTCGCTAGTCTAGATACAATGAAAAAATCTCATGTGGATGACATTGCGGACATAGCTAAAAATCCACTTAGTTGACTGTATTTGTATGGGATGTCATGCTAACAACGAGGACAGTGTTCTCACTACAATACACATTATAGTAATTATTTCTGTCACCATCGAATGCCTATCAACGTATGTATATATCATATACCTGCGTGTAGATATTTTAATGTTATTTAAATTAAGTTTGGAACAAGTTACTATAAACTGTATTTGTTCTGTTATAAAAAACTATTTAAAATACAGTTAAATTATTTAAAAACCCTCAAGTTTGTCAGCATTAACTTTCATCCTCTATTGCACCCTTTAGAAATATTTTTAGAAATAAAACGTGCCTATGATGCTTGCTTTTTTCTATTTCAGTACCCGTAGTGCAATCTGTCTTTATTTAAAATAAAATTAGGACCTGTTTAGGTGTTTAGTTGGGAAAAGGTAATAGCCACATTTTCTCATTTAAAATATCAGTAGATATGGGTGTGGGTTTTCCCAAAGTTTGACTGGGAGACAATACTATAGTATTACGTTTACATTTTGTATATATATATTGTATTTGTTATAAAAACATAACATACAGACAGAGTTAGTTCATAATCATATTTTATGGAAGTCCAGCTAATTTAGTGAAAATTACACTGTTTTCAATTAGTGTGATTTATTTCTAGTGTATAGATTTTTACAGTTCACCAATTCAGTATGTACCTTACTATGTTGCAACGTTGTAAATTTCAATTTAAAATGGGTTATAGGTTTTGGCCCTTTCCCACGAGCCCATCCTAGCCGATCCCACGTATCTTCAATAGCTGTACACAGTTTTCACACTATTACGTCATGCGTGAACGGACGTAATGAAAAGTCTTGTTTGTGTGATGAACTGCCTGTTTCCGCATTGTACTCTTTCATATTAAGGAGATGCGATCAATAAATTTTAACTTACACTGTATTTTTATTATAATAACTCTTATATACTTATGCAATAATATTGTGATTATTTGTAACTTGTATAACTGCTTGAATAGCCTTCGTAACTTCATTGTGGCTAGCTTCTGCCCGCAACTTCATCTACGTAACTACGATGATAACTATAGCAAATAGTCGTACTTTTCCATCTCAATTGCTGCAAGTTACAAACAAATTTATTCACTTTCGCATATAAAATATTAGGATTTACACCATACACCGGTAGCATACTCGTAGTTTTACCAATTAGTAATATATTACTATATTTATGTTCATATTGTTTATAGTACGAAAAACAAGAAATACGGAATTATATAAAAGTTGTTATCTCTCAGTTAATAGTATCTTATAATTGTAAATAAGTATGTCATTATTAAATAAACTTTTAGGTAAGTAGTAGCTACCCAGCAATTTTTACCTTAGATAACTCCTGTTCAAAGCAATATTTCAGTCAGCAACCTTAGACTTGTTTTTAATTAAGGTTAACATAAAGTATAATAAGATAAAAAAGTACATCTAAAAACGAATATTATCGTATATGAACTTGATGATACCCGGAAATTAGAACTATAAGAGCTTAGATATTAAGTGACACCTTTACAATTCTTAAGTATATTACAGATACCTACTCGTAGGTTCTTTGGAGGTCTATCTAAAGTTACTGAATTATAATTATAAAATTAATATATCGTGTTCAGTATCCAGTCCAACCTAACATATCACGTTTTCAGGGGATAGTCATGTGTCATCAGAAGACACATATATAAATATAGTATTTAACCTTACTGTGAAAGATGACGCATTGTTTACAGGTGTCTACTTAATTACCAATCAGTATATATAAACTTGTATGTAGATCAAGTCTATATATGTAATATGTGTAATTATCGTACTTAAGTATCTAAGCAATAGACATTGTACAGTCTTAGTACCTATATTCTTTTTATACCTTGTAATAAAAAACGTACATAAAAATTGCAAATGTCAATATATAATCGAAAATATTAGAAAAATAAAAGAAGTAATAAGTAATATGTAATACCTTTCGTAAATTTATATATCTGGTGCAATCTCTTACATACATCACTACTAGTAAGTAACTAAGTATGGGTTAAAAATTTGCGAATCAACCAGACAGCGATTTCACGCTAAAGATAACTGTACCAAAATTTGGTTGATACGTCATTCAGTGGAATTACTTGGACGAGGACATCGCTCGGGCACAATGGGCCGGAAGCGAGCATCCGCTTTCCATCGGCACAATTTTTGGAAACGCCAAAATTTTCATAGACCGGGCCTTCGTACTCTTTGTCATGTTGATTCGTGTTCTGTTCATTACCTATGCAGTTGGGTTTTGCGAACTTATTTTTCTAATAGGTACAATCTTAATTACGTTTGACCTTATTTATGTGTCTGTGCATGTATGTCTGTATATTTAATCTCCTAGTCATAACAAGTGAGGGAAAATGATAGCTAAATGTACGTAAGCGGGTGCCCACTTACATTAATTAATTAACCAATTAATATAAAGTAATGTGAACAACAAAACACTTTAGCCCCTATTTATAGAACTATGTATAGAATATATTGTAAAACTGTATAAACTCTTCTATGTATATGGCAGGTAATAATAGGTAATGTAGCTATGTACTCTGCGCTTGAGACTCGTTTCCTCTTCCGGTGGCGACTTTAGGAATCTCTACTTTATGGATAAGTAATAAAATAGGATTTATTCGAAATTTGATCCACACTTTAATCTGTGCTTTGATGGATAGAAGGTCCATCTTTATGCTACCTATGACAAACCATATATTAATATTATAAATGCGAAAGTGTCTCCGTCTGTCTGTTTGTCGCTTTGTTACCTTTATGATGTCTAAACTACTGTAACTTTACTGAAATTGGACGTGAAAATAGATTCTATTATGAGAACGGATTTGGGCTATCTTTTATCTTAAGAAAAAACAGTTGAAGTCGCAGTTTAGTCATAAAAAGGTAATAAACATACATTTTCGCAATTATAATATCAGTATGGAGGGGAGAAAGGGGATTGTCAGTAATGTAGACTGATGACCCTATAGCTTGCAAGGAGATCTTCGTGATAAATTCCTTATTACTTTGTCATTATGAGCTAACTGACAGGACCTCATGCTCGTCATGTGATCTTCCACTGGAACTCCATAAATCGTTAGCGCTAGCGAGTGCGCCATTATTATTCAATAAAAAAAATATCAATATGGATTCATACCTGATTCGTATAATAATTATTAATAGAAAAAATTATTAATAGAAATAACCATATTGCCATATTTCGAATATAGCCTATAGGCTTACAAATATGTGACAGATGTGGTAACTAAACAATTTTAATTTAACCACATATTAATGTCTTTAATGATTTTCAGATGTCGATGACCTTAACGTTATGTGTCACATATTTATATATGCAGATGTACAATAAATTCTTGTATAAATGCATTAACAAAACATTAATTGATTGCATTCTATTTGTCTGCGTGAACTAACGGTATCGATGACTGAATTGGATACATTTCAATAATGTCCGCAGTATCAATAGCCCCTAGTACTGTTATAGCAGTTATCTGGGTACTTGAAGCATACCAGGTTTTGTTATATGAATATTATTGTAACAATAAGGTTAATTTGACTCCATAACATCATATAAATATTAGTTCGACATGCAATTAGTTTTAGCTATTTATAGAGGTGTAGTACCTACCTACCTACTGGGAATATTTGTGAAATGTAATTAAGTACATATCTTAAACTAATATTAATTTGTTAATAATCGATGTGATCATTAATATAATTGTATTACAACATATTGGTCATAAATCCTAATGATTACTTAGGGTACTCTAGAACAAATCTAATTTTGATAAATACATATATTAATCCAATTATATACATTCTTGCTTTAAGAATTTGACCCAAATATTAAAAAAAAAAATGACATATATATATATTTATCTATGTTATTTTCTAATTCGTAATGAATATGATATCTACATTATTATAAGAATTATATAATATTGAATTACCTATAAGACAAAAATAATAAAGTTTTTAACGATTTAAAAAAAATAGGTTTTCAATAGTATGATCGTATTTATGTGGTACCTATATAGCTTTACTTAAATTGTCGAAAGGCAGTTCTACTATGCAGGCACTACTAAAGGCAGTACTACTATCTACATCTAATACTTAACGAATAAACTATTTATATGAATATTTATGGTAGGTTCTATAGATAAAAATACAATTATAAAAATTAATGCATGTATATGTAATATAAGTTATACGAAAACAGGCATGTTACAACTAAAGAGATCATGTCATTCAATCCTGTCAGTGAGGACCTTCGAAATGTGGGCAATTACTACCACAACCACGAGTAATTTGCTAAGCTGAAGGTTACAAGGATGAATGAAATACCTTGTTAATAACATAAATGGTATATAATATTAGTCAGATGTAACCTTGCTCCCGATATTCGCCGCGCTTCCAAACATATTCATATAGTGCAACAGACCGAACATTTAGTAAATCAATGTGATAATTGTGGGTCTATATGTACCCATTAGTGATACATCCTACACTGCCATATAAAAGGTTATGACTTTTAACAGGGTTAAAAAATTATTGACTTGTTTGTTATATCTATGTGATATTTGAATTTTGAATATTGGACAAGACAATATACCATAATCACGTTTCTTCGTCAAGTTCGCTCATTTCAGAGCTAAGCGGATTGCTCTGTTTCGGCTGATATGGGTAGAGAAATTACAGGGTACAGTACAGAGGCAGTATATCTTAGTTCTTCGAAACGACATCAAACGGTGCCATGGTGCTGACGTGATACCCATGGCGTTGTTCGTGTTTATAGGCAATTGGTATCACTTTTCGTTAGGTCTACCGTAAGCTTATTTGTTAATCCAATTGTATAAAAAAAGTAAAATGTTTTATTCAGGTGACCATATGTGTGATCGGTGACGCATCGCCTGCATCAGAAGCTAGCAACTCGGAAGATGAAGCCGCGGGGGGCGAGCGTCATGCACGCCTTCACTGCGCTCACTATGTTAACAATGGCCAATGGTATGACTCTGAATTTGAATTCTATTGTCTTCAAAACTTAATGGAGTCTCTATTCGACTGTACTTTTGTGTTTTATACTAGTCACAATTGGAAACAAATAGAAAACGGATATGATATATTTTAATTCATAGGCTATTCGATTTCAATGTTCCGAAGTAGAATTTTTGACCTTTTTTCGCTAACCTATTTCAACAGCTGAGCAGTTTGTTTTGTAAGCTATTTTTCGGTTTGATGGATGGAGATAAGGCAGTGAAATTGCAGGCAAAGGAGGAATAACGCCCTAGCATTAGGGCTCCTGAAAGTCAACGCATGAATAAATAGCAACACACCTACTGGCGTCATGGGACGATAAAAAATGCACTTATGTTTTTTTGTGAGGTTTTGTGTTTTATTTTTTATTATACGAACGTCGATCATAAACTATTAACAATATACGATGATAAATAATGTAATTAGTAGACACTTACTATCTATACGTATCTACATAACGACTACCTATCTCTAATAAGGGCTTGATAATACTGATATACCTAAATACAATAATGCCTTCACTTTACCAACAATGAACCTGCATATCTCACTAACTATCTCATCTGCATATACAATTGTCGTAGTCATTAATATAATAATGTTTTTTGTATCTATTATGTCTATAAGAATAGACCAGTAACGGATATAATAATAATAATAATCTCTGGACAATACACACAGCGCCATCTAGACCCAAGTTAAGCTAGCTAAATCATGTGTTATGGTTACCAGATAACAGATACCAAACCTTTATTTTTCGTAAATACATACATGTTGTATATAGAAATTACCCAGACTGATACAAACAATCATACTCATGATTACAAATGTTTGTGCCGCGCGAGGAATCGAACCCGCAACCATCGGAAGTAAGGCGCTAAACCTTTAGAACATCGAGGTTGTCGTGGATATAGTATTCTATTAGTGATTTAGTGTTAAAATTGGGGCCTCAGTAGGCCATCACTGACTTTATGTTCATTGTTCGATTTTCATTAGAGTTTTTATGAAAATAAAAACCACTGTAATAATATTTAAATTCGCATAATTTCGTCCTTCAGATTCATCTTCATCTATTACAAAAAAATATGCCATACCATGACACACTTTCATTTGTGTATTAGTTAATGTGTATCGAAATGGTAGCCTAATTTCGGGGATCCGGTTGTGAAAGTTTAGTGTAATTGCAATGAACTCTATACCTATCTACAAGCGGTTTTATTAAAAGTGATTATTTTATCTGAGTTCAGTGTGTAATTTATTATATAAAAGCTGGTTCCCGCGATTTTGTTTGATATAAAAGATAGCATAAATTCGTCTTTCATTCGTTCGCAATTTTCGTATTAAATTTCATCAAGTACCGCCAGTCGTTTAGCTGTGAAAAGGTAACAAACAGACAGAGAAACACATTATCGAATTTATAATATTAGTATGGGTAAAAGTATTTTTGTCGGTTTTGTTTAATTAAAATAATTACATATAGTCAACACTCTAAGGTACATTCGCACGTACGTAGCACTTGTATGCTCATATTCAATAACTACTTGGTTGTAGCTGTAAGCGAGGCTCTTTACTAAGTTATCAATTTTTCCTTCACCGGAGAGTTATTCACGGATTAAATTAATATGAAAAAATAATATTTACATATAACTTTGTTAATTCGTATTTTTTTATTTATATTGGAATGGCAAATAGCCAGTCATCCTATCTGATGGTAAGTAATAACTGTCATCTATATACATAAACAGCACTACGAACCTAACATTATCATGGGATATCAGTGATACCGCTCATGCGAAACGCATGAGTGCTTTCGCAGGTATTAATAGTTCAGAGGACTACGAGATCATGTCCCTAAATCTGTAATTTGACTTCCTTATCGCACTCTTTAACCGAAAAAGACCTTTCACGAAGCAAACTGCTAGGCGGCTGAAGTAGGTGAGTGTACCTCGGATAATTTTTTATTTTTATTTCAGCTCAAACAACATGCAACCAAGGGATGGGTCGTGTTATGTATGAACGATTACCGAATCAACAGCTACACGGATTCGACGATGACGTCGTAAGTTGATCTTTGAAATGTAATTTATTTTTTATCACGCGATACCTACATTTACATAATGCCTATATTTTGGTAAACCAAATGCGTCAGAGCAACAATAAGAAATCGTATATTTACACTCAGATATGTAACCGTAGTGTGAAATAAAATATCTGTACATATTAAAATACAAAGTCCCCTGTCGGGTCGGTATTATCCATCAACAGAGCGATCTCTGAGGAAAGTCTAGGGATATAATTCAGAAAAGTTTTATGTAAATTAGCCGTAGGTAGTAGGTAGTTTGAATATAAATTAATTTCATTATTTATGTATTCTGGTTATTTTCTGACTATTGTTGTAGGTACGAGAGACAGCACCACCATTTCGAGTTCTGGAGAAATGTCAGGATTTATGCTTACGAGACCGTTCCGTGAACAGCCTCGTGAGAACATGTAATTCCATTGATTTCCAACCTGGAGCACGTATAGCTGCTTTTAGTCCAGAACCGGAATATGAGGAGTCTACTTGTTTTTTAACCCGTGAACAAGCCACTCCTGAGGGTATTGGCACGCTTATGATTGTTCCAAATAGCGTACATTTTAATGAGATCTGTCTAACTTGTAAGTTTTTTTAATAATACTCGTATATTTTATTGATTATTATATTATTTAATTTTAATGTTTTATAAATGTTTAATATAATTTTAGCAAACCGACCGGAACGCGAATGCCCCTCACGTCGATATGTTTTTGAGCGTCATGCACGGAAACGATTGAAACTTCCACCGTCAGATCTTAAAGAAATCATGGTCGCTAATCGGACTGAATGCGAAGATAAATGTTTGGCAGAATTCAGCTTTGTCTGTCGGTCGGCTACCTATGATTCTGAGTTAAGAACTTGTTCACTGAGCAGATTCACAAGAAGAACACACCCCGAGTTATTGGAAGATGACCATAAAGCAGATTATTTGGAAAATACATGCTTGAACGGTAAATATGCTACAAAATATTTTTTTAATGACCTGATGAGAATCTGCCGCAATGGGCTAACTTACCAGTATTCGGGCAATTGTGGCAAATTCTCCAGTTATTGACTGCGATATTTTCAGCAATGGGGCCATTAGGAGTCACTACTGACAATCTCCTCTCTGAAATGGTCTTGAACCCAATCCTGTGTTGTCTTGTAATATTTTATTCAATTGTATGATTATTATGTTTTAGCTGAACGACGTTGCGATGGCTTAGCGGTTTTCATTAAGGAGGAAAACAAACGACTTGGTGGTCCGTTCGAGGCTGATGTGTTTTCGAATATGACTTTGGACGAATGCCAAGCGATGTGTGTTCGTGCGGAAAAGTAAGAATTTATGTTGTTCCATTATTGATGCGTAATTTTTTTTTATCCTTCTTCCGAATTTGCAAGTACCTTGTAGCAATATCCTGTACGGGCCTTAAAATTGTATGTCCTATTTCTTATTTAATATTTCGTTTTCATGAAAATATAATTAAACAATTATATATTTAAAACGCGTTTATAAATCTACTTCAATCGAAACAATATTATATGATATGTTTACTTGTGTAATATTTTAGGTATTTTTGTCGGTCCATCGAACACGATGCAATGACAAGACAGTGCGTCCTCTCTGAGGAGGATTCTGTGTCGCAGAAAGACGATGTGACCGTCAGTGCATCGCCAACACATCATTTCTACGACCTTGTTTGTCTAGACAATCGTGAGTGTTATTCTTTGTTTGTTCTGATAATGTGATTTTTAATTGTTAGTATATTAACTAACGAAGGTTAATAACGTTAATAAATATGGTAGAGTTTGTCTTGTTCGTAATTGTCTAAACTATTAACAACGAATAATCAGAGTTGTGATTGAGGTACGAAGTTTACTTTTAAATAATATTATTGCTAACATTGTTAATGTGATATGAAATATTCTAAAACTAACTTTAACTAACAAGTACTGACAGCACACTAAACCAAAATAAGGTTTTTCTCACAATTATGATCAGTTTCTCATCGGGCAGCTCGTGGCACGGAGTACCCGGACAATAGTGTGACGTCACACTTGTTCTCACCTGGGAGAAGGCCCGACACCGCCTTCCAGAGATATAGGGTCAGCAGAATTACCGGAGAATTCCATTCTGAAATTACTGGGCGTTCGTTAAGTGAATGCTTAGATGAATGCTTGAGGCAGACCAGTTTTCAATGCAGGTATGTTATGTATAAATGTTTCGTATAGTGATGTTTTTGATTATGCTTGGTATTTTACCAAGCATAATCAAAAACATCACTATACATCACAATGGTCATCGTCGTCGGTCACGCTCAAGATGTTTCCCTCTAGCTGATAAATGTAATCCCATTTGGGGTAGTAGTAGAGGTACATTATCTACTTAAATATTGAAGTAAATGCAACAGTTTATCATGCCTTCATTTCGCTTGGTATATTATGTATCGAACGTGGCAAGCGGGAGCCTTCCACTATCGCTCGTATTAAATTTCCTCTAGATGATCTTCATTATATAAGTTAACAAGTGAAGATGTTCATCAGAATGTAACGCGTAACGTATACATTTGATCGTACACATCTCTAGATGCCATGTCAACAATGAAATATAATAGGTTGTAACAATTATGGGTCACAGGGCTCTACTTTGACGTGATGTCTATTTTCATATTCGTGTGTAAAGACGACGGTTGCCACTTACCACCATTAGGGAAGAAGGCAGTTTGCTTAACAATCGAATAACGTACATAAAAAGAAACAGAACAAATACAATTACGATAAAATTACTCTAGAAATAAAGTAGATATGCATATTATAATTCAGGCGGAAACTGTAAACAAAGATAATATAATGGAATCAAATATGATTATTTTGTCATATATTCTGGGTAATCTTTTGTGAACAGATTTGTGTTTGTGTGCCACACCAATCACCAATCTAGCGATAACTGTGTCCGATCAGTTTGTATGGTTCATTGTACCATATTGACAAAAGCTTTGCAATTTTAGGTCGGCGGTATACAGTGACCGAGCGAGGACCTGCCGCTTGAGCCGGTACAATCAGAAGGATGGCATGCGTTTAATATACGATCCTGATTTTGATTATTACGAAAATTTGATGCGTAAGTTTTTTTATAACTTTTTAAATTATCACATAATATAATTTCAATTCTAATATATCGACTCGAATACTAGAATTAAAGTCGTTTTATAAAGAGCAAACAACGATAATCTTTATCTTTGCCAGCAGTTTAAATATTATTGGAACTAATAAAATATATAGGTTAATACTCGTTTTCAGAGTTTGTTGATGAATTGAGCATTTATAGAACGCGTTATACCAAATTGTAAAACAACTTTTTTTCAAGCATAAGCCCACTCTAGTTCATACTATTCTTTTGACATCTTGTAATATCTAATGCTATAAGACATCAGTTGTCTATAAAAATGATATAAGTACTCGTATTTATAATATTTGATGTTTAATAGCATTTTATTTTTATAAATATCTTTTAGGGACACGGCTGCTTATTTTACTTCTTAAGTAACCTTTAGTAACTGTATTTTTATCTGTAACTGTATCTTTATTATCGAAGAATATAGAGTTTTCATTGCGTTATTTTTCTAAGAAAACTACTACAATATCACGCTACAGTACTACGCTAGGGAAGGAAAAATTAAATCATCTACGCAGACGACAAGTTATTTATAAATTAAATGATCCATAATATTTATATGTAGATAAACATGGTAGTATAATATTATGCATATTGCATAATATTTCCTTGTTTACATTGTAATGTTCAAGACCTGATATCATTCCTCAATTATTTTATGTATACATGAATTTAATGTTTACCACGGCATATATATGAATTTTATAATTCATATACCTAAAACAATTACGTAGCTGTAGCATATGTAATTTATAAATTAGTATAAAATATACATAAAATAAAAGGTATTCGAGTTGTATATCTGTATATAATTCGTGGTCATTCATAACGTACTACAACCTACAAGTGGTCAATTGCCTTAATAGGGCAAGGCGTATAGACCGACATTGAACCCATTGTGATGTATAAATATCATATGTTTCTTCATACATTAGTAGGTACTTGTTAACAATGTATCGGACCTATAGTTAAGTTATTATACCTACTTTTTATGATGACTATTATATAATAATGTAAATAAGGAGTGTTATACAATTAAAGTCATAACGCAATTTTCAGACGACAGTTTTTTATCTTCTCAATAGTTCTTCAAGGGTTCTCAATTAGATTGCTTTTTTTTTGTATTTGAGTAATCTACCTACATATGTAACACGATTCACTTCCGGTTTGACCGTACTAATTATGTCCATAGAAATTATGCTTAGAATTACGCTACTACGTAACAATCTAGGTACTTTTGTCATAAAATTTTAAATAATACGTTAAGAACAAGTAACCCTGACTATTGCTGTTGTCACTCAGGAGTAAGTTGTACTAGATTCTTCATTGTTTTATATTTGTTGGATGTAAAAATCTACGAACTTTCTATAAACTTTACTATTTTTTTATATAAATAGCAATAGCTATATACATAAGTACAAAGTGACCTATATACCTAATGCCTGGCGTAACAAATTGTAAACAAGCTTGCAAATTGGATTATTTATTAGGTTCTTGTTTATGGTTATATTATTTGAAGGAGACGATATGGTACATAATATATAAGCGGGATATTGACCACGATAATGTTATTTATGAACTCCTAATATTTCGACGCCTGTGATACTCATAGATTATTTATGTTCATGTATAAAAGAAGTTAAATAAATTTGTTATATTTTAATCGTTTTCGGTTTTACTTTCTGATCCACACACATAAATCGCCTATATAATGTGTACAATTATTATGATAAAGAATTGTGATAAACATTGTATTATGATAATAAGTTATGTTGGTATGTGTTAAGAAAATTTGTATATTGGATGATTTGGGAATCTAGATCAACTAGTGAGTGGTGAGAGCGAAGCAGGAGGTACAGCCAGCGGTTCCCAGGCCCCATGGGGAAGACCCACTACCACAGGTTCGATGCATGGTAGTTGAACGCGCTGATTATTGACTCTTGCCTAGCTTTTTTTAAATGTAATCTATTTATAAGTATGTCCATATCTATTATTTGATTCCTTATCTATTTATCATGATTTTATTTTAGAATTGGCGTTGAGAAAATTAACGGTCACTGTTTACAATGTGATACAACTCATACAAATTAAATTGATTGATAATAATACTTAATAAAATACGACCATGACCTATGTGATATTATGGTCTCGTGAATGAATCAGATTATTATAGTATCGTTATTAATTTGAGGAAATACAAGTTGTTGTGAATCTTTACGTAAAAATGCATATTTGATAGCAGCTGTCTTTTTATGAGCTATGTTCATTGGTTGTGAAATTTGATTATATTGAAATATCTTTGTTAAAATACAAGTAATAGGCCTATTTTTTAACCAATTTAAGACTTAAAGCGGTAAACGCTGAGTTTATTATAGAGATAATTTAAAATTTAAGAGACATATGGATGCAATAATTTATATAGTTAAAATATATTATCTTATTTGTGATATAGGCAACCTAGTTAAATTGGAGATGGTTTATTAGGCGTAGTAAATTATTTATTATATTTATTTGTGTAAGAGCTATAAAATCTTCTCGTCATCAATGATTGTGTATTTGTTTCAATTAAGTAGATAGTTGGTTAATTGGCAGTCGTATGGTTTGATTCTTGACTACGTTATTTTCTTTAGTTATGAAAAAGGTAAGAAGTAAGGTGTGAAATATAATATTTTGTTACTTATTTTCATTATATCATGTAGATAATTGTGTTGCATGTAATTTAGTATCTTAGGTTTTTATAGACAAATTAAATTAATTAGTTTAGTTTAATACAATTTTATATATAATAGTTATGTAGATTTAGTGCATGAATCGTAGATGTGTATTTTCATCTTTATGTAGTTGTAGATAGATATATATGTATGTTGATTAACTACCAACTGTAGCCACTGTTGTCTTGTAAGTATTGACGGGCCTCATTTCGTCGCGTAGGTATCAGGTATATATATATATATATATATATATCAGGTAAAATGTTATATTCCTTATAAACGTTAATATTTACTTGAATTATATAAATTAAAAGTTAACCGCACTAAATATAATATAATACTTAAAATATTACATGAAAAAATAATCAAGTTGAAAACTATGAGTTTACTTTTGTGTATACAATTAAATTAATAATATGAATCTGACCTAAATAAATGATTATTTAAATATGTTCTCAAAATTGGGTCAAGTATTATATACGTAGATCTGGTAGTCTAATGTTAATTCTATCCTTCAAAGGTGGTAACGGCGGGAGCGGTGGTGACCGTGATAGGTACCCACCAGGTACCGACCGCGATCGATACCCGGATGACGACCGCTACCCAATGGACGACGAGCGGTACAGCGGTAGGCCAGACCGGTATCCACCTGACGATCGGTACCCGGGCGGGCCTGATGCATACCCGGAAAGATACCCGGGCGACCGCTACCCACCAGCAGATAGATATCCAGATGACAGATATCCACCTGGTGTGGGTCCTGATAGATACCCACCAGGCTTAGATCGCTACCCACCAGGCTCAGACCGCTACCCACCAGGCGCAGACCGCTACCCACCAGGCGCAGACCGCTACCCACCAGGCGCAGACCGCTACCCACCAGGCGCAGACCGCTATCCACCAGGCGTAGATAGATACCCATCTGGCAGTAGATACCCAAGCGATCGCTACCCTCTTGACAGTGGCCGATATCCTCTCTACGACTATCCTACTAATGACATTAATAGATACCCATCTTCAGACCGATATCCCGTTAGCCGATACCCTATCGATATTTACCCTGAAAGATACCCTTCAGATCGATATCCGGATAGGTATCCTATCCGTGGTAGTGGGAGGTATCCTTCTAAACCTTGGTATCCTAGCCGTTATCCTGACAGATACGATCAGGACCGGTATCCTGGTCCCAGCGATTGGGGTCGATATCCGTTCAGCCGGTACCCGGTCGGTGTCAACCGAGACCCGGTACCGCTGGGCGGAGATCGATACCCTGATTTGTATGACAAATATCCGCCGACCGGATCGTCATATCCTGGTAAGCACTAAACTAATACATTAGTGTTATTAAGTAAGTGTTGTAGATTTATTAAATTAGAATTTTGCTTTTCCCTACACAAAAATTATGACTAGATCTATTCGTGACTTCATACAACTTTTTTTTAATTAAAAGTCTGTAATTAATTTTGATAGAAATAGAGAATATACCTCATTAGGAGGTATGGATATTTGTAATTGAGTTTCATATTCTATAAGATTTATTTATATCTATATTTAATTTGCTTAAGAAAGTTTTTTTTTTTGGAATATATTCTTTTGATACATTATTTATATTGTTATCCGAATCTTAACCCGTGTTAAGATCTGATTAATAATATACATAATGTATATTAAACGTGAAAGTTTAAAGATTCTTTTCATATACCAGTAGTACGTTATATGTATCACGTCGTCATATTACTGTCATGTTCTATTGGACCTTCAAGAGTTTTATTGAACATCAAATAATCGCACATTATTGAAAACAGTAATTTTACAGCTGGCTACGGCCGTGGTGGTTACTATGGTTCAGATTATCCTCCGCCAAGTCGCTATCCTGGTCCAGACAGGGGAGTTCGTCCTTTGCCTGAGAGGTAAGTTATGATTCATATCATATTTATTATATATAATCGTTTTCCCATTGTATAATACCTAATATCTAATTTCGTAATGGAAAAATAGCTGTTGAATGTTTTATTATATTTATTCTTATAGATATCCGGCTGAACCAAGACCTAGTTTTGGTCTGAGAAGACCTATAGATAGGCCCGGAGGTTATCGTGGTAATTATCCTCCTCCGGGCTTGGATCGTCCTATCGGTAAGTTTTATTACATACGTAATAATTACGCCTATTTAAACCGCTGAGCAGCTTGCGTTGTCAGCTGTGTTTAGGTTATAGTTAAGGTAGTGAAATTACAGGATAACAGATAAGATATGTCATCTTCACTCTCCGGAACACACACTTATGTATGCATGTGTCCTATGATAACGTGATATCTATAATGTTGATCATGTAGGCGATATAAATGACTCATAACTCATAAGCGGTATATCACTTATATAATCGTACCGTCAAGTAAGCCGTCAGATTATTTATTAAAAAAATCGATAATATTAAATTTAAGAACGAAATAATTGGGAGCGTTTCAATTTGAAGGTGGCGGTGGTTATGGAGGATTTGAACCGGATGGCCCTATTGGGCCTGGAGGACCTATAGGAGGTCCAGTTGGTGGACCTTTAGGGGGTCCTTTGGGTGGACCAATCGGAGGACGGCCTCCTGTTGGCCAAAGACCATGGCAAGGATCTCGTTGTGAAGAAGACAGCTTTAGACAAGTGGGTAGACAGCGTATGCAGAGGCGGTTCGTGCGTCGTTTTACAACCGCCCTTTCACTGGCACAGTGTCAGCGAGAGTGTATTGAAGCTCGTGACTTTATTTGCCGTTCCTTTAACTTTAGGTAAGAAAATATATGTTGTTTTTTTTTATTAATTTAATTGTGGCTACTATTTTTTTTTACTACGGAATACCTATAAAAAACCCCAAGTAATTGTCTAATTAAGCTATGCTTCAGTCGAAGACCAAGATATGCCAGTGAAATAACAGATGACTGCAGATGAATGATACCTTAGATCCGAAATGGCAACGCCTGAGAGATGTCATAGATCACATGATGTAGTGATGTTAGCAGTGTTCATGTTAATAGACGACGGTTGCTAGTTACCATCAGTTGGGACGTCTGCTTCATTGTTATTCCAGTGACATAATAACATAATTAATTTTTATCTATTTATTTGGAGTTTTGACGATCGATAAATAGATAAATGATTTATTTATACCTTTGGCAACTAACACACAATGCATGTATGTTACTGGTTCTTTGTACCTACTATAGCAGTGCAATTAGAAAACTCCTCAGTGTAATAAGATTGCAAAACATATACATATATTACATGTCCATTGACATCGAATGCATCACAATTTTATAAACCACAAAAAGGAAACAAGCCGCAGTTCAATGTGGTATCATAAATAAAAATTTTACAGAGACACCGGCTATGGCAATGAACCACGCGACAATTGTGAACTCAGCGACCGGGACACGCGTGAATTGGATGCTGCGAATCCCTCGCATTTCGACAACACCGCTAATGAATACGATTTTTACGAACGAGCTCTCGGTCGTATTGCTGACGATTGTTTGGATGGTAAATAATCTTTATAAGTGAATCTTCACATGTTTGCACTTAATACGTTAAACTATTCGTCCAATTGTGATGAAATTGTAATGATCTATTAACTACACCGGCGACGGTTACATAAATTATTTGTGTATTTTTGCCGCTTATTTTAACAACTCTTAAAAAGCGTAACGTTTTTGGAATGGAGATGATTATAGACTACTATTTATCTATAGGGTCTCCCATATAAAACAAACGAAGTCACAGGCGAAAGTTAAATTTAGACAATTTATTACATAAAAAATTAGATCAAAATAAAAGTGTTGATTTCGATTGATGTACTTTTTTAATATTTCCAAATGAAGGACGTATACAATCTGACTCAATTACTATTATTTTTATAAACGTTGCGCGTTCTCTAACCAAATTTGATGTTTTCTTATGATCGTTTTAATTTAATTCGGGGTTCTATAATTTTGTTACGATTAAAGTAAATTTTGTATTAAATAAAGTATTATAGCATTTTAATTATATTCTAAGGTACACTAAAGATTCTCCACACGAAAGGTTCTGGATCTGTCTAATCCATGCAAATTAGTACATACGAAAACTGGATAGCAGTTAGCTTAATCAGGCAGACTAATTCTATTTCGACCACACATTCGCTTCTAGTGATTACAATGCCAAATTGAGTTTAGAAACACATTTAAAAGTACGCTTTAATTGCTGAACGGATTTGAATTAATTTTAGTATATAGATATTTCATGCTCTAAAGAAACACATTTTATACAGCTGCATATATATCCTACACAGCTATAATTATATAAATAACATTACAGTATCCCAAGTATGCAATGAAGACGGTATGGAATTCACTCTGCGTTTGCCTGAAGGATTTTACGGACGAATGTACACATATGGCTTCTATGATCGCTGCTTTTTCCGTGGTAATGGAGGTGTCAATAATGTTCTGCGTATCACTGGCGCACATGGTTACCCAGAATGTGGTACACAACGGGTACGTTATAGTATTGTTTATTAACAATAATTTATCCTGAAAATATGTGAAAATTTCAAAATATCTGTTATGTAAATATTATGTAATAGAATCGTCTTATTTAAAGCTAGAACCCATCAAATCTATCTAAGTATATATATTTTAAAACGGACAAATTGGGGTATTCTGGTTTATCTAATCTTAATCTAATAAGAGCAAAATTATAAGGATTAGGATAATTTATTTAAAAAACATTATTTTTTATAGTATGGAGAGACAATGACAAATATAGTGGTCGTACAGTTTAGCGATAACGTTCAAACATCGAGAGACAAACGGTTCAACCTTACCTGTCTATTCAGGGGACCAGCTGAAGCCGTTGTTACGTCCAATTATATTGGAGCTGGGTGAGATATTTCATTATTAATATATTATGTCTATTCGGAAATTACTGGTAGCTAAAAATAGACATCATGTAAACAATTTAATTTAATGGCTTTATTATGTCACGTGCATATGTTATTTTCAAGAGAAATAACGACTATTGTTTCATATGACGATTATTTCATCAGAGGCATCATATTAATTTCATATTGACTGTTGAGCACAAATAAACGATTGTTAGCTACTAGACTATAATTTTTCCAATAGACATTTTGTTTTGTTATTTAACTATATTACAATTAACAACGTGACTTTGTATTTTGGCGCTTTTACCAATTTTTGTGTTACTTTATAAATATTTGGGCTATTTTCGATATATGTAAATTAGTAAAGCAAATACAGTGTTACTATTTATTACTGTTATTATTATTTATTACGGTGGTATTCATTGGGATTATATGTTTTGTGTGAATTACCTTGTTTGTTTATTGTTTGATTTACATGTGTTTGTTAAGTATAAATGTTTAGTTGCGATTTAAATTTATTTGAATGCAACTGTAATTTCGGCTTTATGTACTTATATTTTTTGGTGGTATTTTTTGTTTGTGAGTGCTGTTATTTCACTAACAGCTACTAACTAACAGACTTTGAATGAATTCCTCAAAAGAAGAATCGGTAGTTAGTTAACAGTAGTGCTCATAATTCGAGTACTTTTGTATATTTTCATCTACTCGTATAACAACGAAATCAATTATATTAATTTTATTGAGAACAGAATTCATTCGAAGTCAACGGCTTTACATTTGAAGGATTATCTCCAAGTCTTACCTTAGTTTGGGGTTTGATTCTGTTGACAGATCGGGCAGTCCGATACCCATAGAGTATCTACCCGAGGAAAGTTCGTTGAACTCCAAAGTACGATTGATGATACTTTACCAAGGGCGACCAACTACCACAATAGCTGTAGGAGATCCATTAACATTTAGACTCGAAGCTCAAGATGGATATAATTATGCAACGGACATCTTTGCCACAAATGTTATTGCAAGAGACCCGTATTCTGGTAGATCTGTACAGCTCATCGATCGAGTAGGGTAAGTAAAAGTGCTCTTCAGTTCAATAACATCGTTCTATTGATATGGAAAATGTGAAATAGTATTTATACAGATAAATTATATCATTAGTATACACACTCTTCTAACATTACTTACTCAAGTAATATTGCGAGATAAATTCATAGGAAAATAAATCACCAAGGACAAGTCGAAGTATGGAGTCGCCAGTTAAAATGTATTACATATTACATATACAAATGACACTGCTTTAGGTACAAGTAAAATGTACCTATTTTTTTTATTAAATACAAATGTTTAGTGTACACAAATAAAGATTACAATTTATCAGAAATTTCATCATGTAATGCATGAACAAATACGATACCTATCGTACATTTACGAGTAATAGGCGAGATAAAAATAAATATCCAGTTCACTTCACGCATCATGCACGTTGTTATCACGTGATATGCTTTCTGTTTATTTAGATGCCCAGTAGATCCTGACGTGTTTCCTGAACTGGACAAAGGAAGAAGCGGAGACTCCCTTGAAGCTAGATTTAATGCATTCAAAATACCTGAGTCTAACTTCTTAGTATTTGAAGCAACTGTGCGTACGTGCCGTGATGGGTGTCAACCGGTGAGTATAATTATGTATAACTAATACAAAATGTAAGTACATACATAAGTAGCACAATTGTCAAATAAGGTCTTATTTGAAGATTGTGCTACTTATTTACAACCCATAACTCCCATTTTCAAAATAAATATGACAGGTTGCAACCCGACTTGAATCATGGCAACTCAGTTGAGTAAAATTCGAAAGTTATACCTTCGTAATTCCTTTAATTTCTTTCTGTGGGTTGGCAGTGTTCTCAATTTGATGGATAGCGATATGTGCGTTTTAATAATACTGTAATGTAGATTTTTTTTTATTTTTTTCCCACATAATTATTCTTATATTTTTATAGTACCGTCAGTCGTTCAGACACCTTTTTATTTATAGTACATAGCAACAAAATTTGCATAATAATTATAGACTTCACACATAAATAATAAATGCTTATGATGAAAATACGTAAAAATTGACAAGATTACGCGACTTTACAAATTTTCCTAAGGACGTATCTTAGCGACTAGTTTCGTTTCCACGAGTTAGGAACGTGCAAATGTATATTTGAATTAGTGATAAAAATATGGAAATAAGTATTTAAATTAATTCTTAATTAATTTGAATAAGAATCTATATTACTTGTTAGAAGCCGTATTGATAAATAGTTGGTCGATAAAATTGTCACCTGTGAACTCTCTGTGTGTCTCTAAAATCTTGTTCCTATACTCATCATAATTATGTTAGTATAATAATTTTACCGTCCATGTCTCTATTGGATAGCTAACATAAACATCCAATTACGTCAATGCGATCACAAAAATAAACGTTATCAATTCATTATTTCAATGAGGACACTCACGGGTTATCATAGTCATCCAGTTATTAAACTTTGTTTGTTGGAACGGTTTAGTAATTTATGCAGTTTAATCTCGTAGTAGATTATATATGTATTATTATAATTGTTAAGTGTTGTAAACATTGTCATTTAATTTTTATTGGATGTAATGGAATCACCATTTCATTCCATCCGGTGGTGCTAATTACATTGACTGACGGGCACTTGTGGAGTATAATAGGCTAAGTATAAAATCAGGTTTGTTTAGCGCGTCATGGAACCCAGGAATTTATGACCATGGTTTCCAGGGAACATATAGACCTAATTGAGTACGTTACTAGCTATATTGCATCCTTAGACGAGGCACCTGTGGAGCACAGTAGGATGAGCATGAAATCAGATCAGTATAGCGCAGCATGGAACCCGGAAATTTATTACGCTGGTTTCCAGGGTCAACACGTAGACCTAATTGGGTACGTTACTAGCATATTGCATCGTTACATTAATGTCCTGCAAGTGAGCACACATTGATTAGACATGTTTTAGTTAATGTATTATAATAATTTTCTTCTTCCCCATACGATCGAGGGCCTATAGTATTTTGCTATCACATCATTCTTATTACTCTATTGCTTTCTCCATCACTAGTAGACATTGAGATTATGAAATGTCTCAGAATGTTTATTTAAATTAATTAATAATTGTAAATATTTTGAATTGATATTCAGGTTAATGGGTATAAAAAAGTAAGTACCTAATACTTAATATATATTGCGGCGATATTTATCTCAGGTAAATAACTGACAATAGTTATTTTAATTACATATTTGACATTACTGTTCCTTTGATAAAATATATTATCTATTAAACAGAGATGTAGGTGCGTGACACATTTACGTAATAGAAATAAACATTCAAACAGAGTGTAACTGTGTCATCTTTCATTCCTTTAGCAGCATGTTTTTCATCCCTGTAAGTGGCATATGAATATTTATTTTGTAAGTAGATAGGCCGTTAGTCACAAAATTCATTGTGGTGACAATTGTATCTATAGCATAGTGTAAATTTTAGGACATCGAGTTATCATAATTGTCAATTTAAATGCATACCTACGTTCAGCAATTTTACAGGGAAGTACAGGGACCTATAGATACGAAGTTTTTGGTGTCTGTATTTGATTGATTTTAACAATAAGAATGTAGCCTGATGCTACCTATCACCTCACCACTGTAACCTCAACACTTGTGTATGATGTGATGAGGTGTCCCTACATAATTTATTTGTGTAGACACAAGATCACTATTACGAATATTAGGAACCTCGGTAAATCTTTAGGTAGGTATATTGACAAAAGTGCATTAAAAATATTCTAGGTAGGTACAGAGTGCTTCTAATTTGATGCTATCAAAGTCAGTCCATTAATAAAAGCCGACGGCTTTGGTTATTGTTCTAGATAACGGCATATGATCATCAAAGTTCACATCCAAAGTCCAAGGGTTAAACTCTGAAGGTAGACTTTGAATGCGTTTGACAGCATTTGATAGTATTTGCCTAAAGTGATACATAATGTTTTATGTAATATTCCTAGGTTAGAGCTATATTTACATATATACCTGTTAATACCTTTCATACAAATAGTATGTTAAAAAAAGTTTCATATTTTTTTTGTTACGCCGAAATTATTTTTCTATAAAACAAAGGTATATGGCAATGGATATGGAAATGCGGAATGTACCTGCTACAGGCATTGCTATGCTTACTAGATCCCAACAATGAATTATTCTGTACAAATTGTTTTTATAGAATTAAACATTTTTTTGTTCATGTAAGCAAACTTCAGATACAATATGATGAGGTATATATTATTATATTTGTATATATACAATATAATACACAAAAATCTTATTATATGTAATAAGTTTATTTTTTTGCATGAAATGTATAGACAGGTATGTATGTAGATACAGTTACATCATACGACGAGTCCAACTTAGATATATTTCTCTAAAACTGTTCCAAAGTCCGTAGTCTAACTCTGAAGACGTTACAAACAAAGAGGCTCACTTTTGTATTGAATGATAACGACATTTTCGACAGTTTTGTAGATATTTAGACAAGAATAGACAAGATACATAGTATGTTACTTATACAATTTGCTATGTGACAAAATACCTATATTCTCTAGTTCGTCTGTAAATATTGTTTTTCTTTCCAACAGCAAAGGTACATTGTTGTCGCAGGTATTCATTCATATTGGTAACTGGCTTGATTAGGTACTTTTTTTGTTGTTTTATAATTAAATTAATAAAGAAACACTATTTGATAGCTGCGTAAACTGGTATAGCATACTCGATTAATAACTAAAAACATTCACTAAAATAAAACTATACTAAAGTTTCTGTAAATGGATTAGTATTGAAGGGAGCACCTGATTAACGGTCTACGCTGATGGTACATGAGCGGGGGATGATAGGATGAGGATGAAATCAGATGAGTTAGCCGATAGTGGTGAACTCACCAGGATAGTTTGACCGCGTTGAGGTCAACTTGACAAGGGTTTACTAGCAAAGGGCCACTAATCCAGGATTAATAATTCCCTACTCCTCTATATTTCGGTTTGAAGGGTGATTAATGGTAGCAAAATAATTGAGTACATAGAGTAGAGGAATTTGGACCTTAGGAAGTATTACAGTAATTAGTATATGCCTCTATAAGGTTGATTTTCATCAGATCGTCAACATGTCGTTCGTTAATATTGTTCGTTGATATTTGCCAGTACAAGATTTAAACTATTTCAGGCATACTGTCCAAGTCACACAGGAAGATCTGAACCATCATTTGGCCGTCGCAGAAGAGATGTCAATGCAACAAATGGGGCTGAAAATAATGACACAATTGTTGTTAAAGCTGAAAATAACGACGGCAACGCTAATAAATCTGATGATACTAACAACGCTAGTGTGTATAAAGTATCTTTTGAAGAAGCTGGCGTCGATAAGTATCTGAAGGAGGAAGTCGAAACTCCGAGTCATGTGAGGAAAATGATTGAGGTGAGACTATTTATAAGCACAGATTGCACTTTTAATAAATAACTGGATTCACTGAAAAAAATAAACGAATTCGACCTCAAAGCAAAAAAGTTGATTATCTAAACCTTGTAATTTTTGTAAACGTAAAATTTAAGTAAACGTAGGTACTTTATTATTACGGCCGGGATAAAGCAGTCTCTATATTTCTGCGTATTTATAAACGAAGCGTAACAAACGTACAAACAAACCTGTTGAAGTTACATATAATATTAAGATTAGAACATTTGTTAATTATCTATTTATATGCTACTTATCTATACTGCTTATTTGCCTTAGGTGACTACTTGGTAACATTATTGAGATAAAATGTTTATATTGACATGACATAATACTACTAGTAATTCTTAGATAAGTAATGTAATAGATAACATTAGATAGGTATCTTTAATTTATTATAAACGGAAATACAAGCTGTAAATTTCCATATTTTAAAGCATCTGTACCATTTTAAATGAAATTGAAATAATATCAGACAGAATGACTAAAGAATTTAAAGTTCAATTAAAGTTGCATGTGTAACATTACTATCAGAAATATTTCATTTAATAAATGAAAATAATGGTCACTTTCAACTGATAATCAGAGATGAGTGTTTATATATATTATCTAGGGTAGGTATTATATATAGAGTGAGTAATGCGACTGGGTTTTTTTTATGCGTTTCATAAATATATTTTTTTAATTTTCATACTATAAAAAGTAGGAGATTCTTAATCCTTAATGATTGCATGTTTTAGTGTCTTCCTTATATTTTAAATAGTTTTGGTCTCAACAAGATTTGCAATTATGTCACTAACATACATACCTACCTAAATTTTGTCGATATTGACGTTGTACTTTTTAATTGAAATCCTATATTAATTACATTCGTACATACTTATATTGTACCTAATATTTAGGTGTTTGACAATCGCAATGAATTGTTGGAGGAAAATGGCCCATCTGACTCTTCGCCAGTGGTAGCAGCTGCAGGGGTATGCGTTTCGCCGTACCATTACAGAGCGCTATTGGTGGCACTGTGTGTTTTGCTGTCCTTACTTCTGGCTATGTTGACTGCTGCATTGTATATTTACAAGTAAGTTACAAATTATCGTATTACACTTAGAACAAATACAGATACCATTAAGAACACTGCGGGCATATTAAATCCCTAATATATTAGAGGTAGTCTCCTCGTCCCTGTCGCATTTTTAATGTAATCGGAATGACAAACAAGCTGACTGCCTACCTGTTGATGTACAGCACTACGGATATCACGTTATCATTCGACATCCAAGATACCATTCAGGGGTTGCCATTCCAGAGGACTAAGATATCATGTCACTTATCCCGTAATTTAACAGATTTATCTGCACTCTGCAATGTCATGAAGATGATGATTTTGACGAATTGGTAGGTATATTATTATAATTACATACTACTTACTTGCCTAAGTACTATTTAAGTTACTTAAATATTATTTTAAAATATTACTTCTATTTTCAGACGATATTGGCGTATACTGCGCAAGAACATACAAGCTTCAAGTCCTGCGCCAGCTCTCCGCCCAGTGACTCCTGGTCCCCGGCCTTCACGACCGTCTTTGTTCTCAGCTTCACATCTCCATAAGCCATTTTCGTTAAGGTAATAATAATGATAATATGTGTGACATGACATAAGGCATAAATAGTTTAACAAGTCCAAAATAACTTCAATATTTTATACATCCATTATCTGAATGACATCTACCAGAGTTCGAATTATGAATCTGTATATTGACTTTCTGTGCAAATACCTATTATATGAAGATATGAGTACTTACTCAATAGACGGTTACGACGATATCCGATTGACCTTTCATTTGAACATGCTCACGTAGCTACATTTGTAAGATGTCCTTTTCCTAATTGCTTGTATTATATTTCAGTGGTTTGGGTAGAACTTTCGCTGAGGTTGGCGAAGAGGCGGGATCTGCTGGCCGTTTGGCTAACGCCTTTGACGATGGCAGCGAACCCATTTACACAGACCCGTCGCTGTTCGAACGATCCCGTTCACTGCGTTCCCTACACTCGCTGGACATGAAGCCTGATCGACGTGACCACCGCGCGTAGAATAAGGATGCGCATTCACTACGTTAACATAATTCTAACTCGAAAATGAAATTAAAAAGATAACTCCAAAATAAATATGCGTGCAATTAATTTTATTGTTTAACTGCCATAAAATGTGCTCAGTATTTCATCCGTCCATAGAAATTTATAAATTGCAACATTAAAAAATTATAATATATAAATGTAACATCAGAAACAATGTTCTTAATTTTAAAATATTTTGTATAAGTCAATACTAATAAATATTTACAGTGATTCTTATTTGTAGTTTGTCTTCCCTATTCAATATGATTTCCAATAATAAAGACTAAGACAGTAGTGAATACAAACATCATGCATTGGGGAATGAGGAATCAAAAATATGCTTTTAGATAGATGTCTTATTTTGTTTAATACCTAATTATGAAGTAAAATTATTACATATGATAAGGTGCTGGTGTTGGTACACTCATGAGTGGTGAATCTAAATATTCCATTTCACTAGTGCTAGCAGCTGGTTCTGCTTGAGTGTTCATTTTTTGATTCAAAGATTCATAAAGCTTATGTACAGACTCGTTGTGCTGAGTTCCCGGTTGTAATGCTTTCATCAGTGTCTGAAGTCTAGTTTCAGGTAACTTTGGATGTATATACCACAGTAGCTTCAATAAATGCCTGGTGACATTATCTTTAGATAAACCAGCAAAAAAGAATTCATCAAACAATACTGTACTGAAGTCTTCACCCTGGAATTCATCTGGTAACTGTATAAGTAAAGCAACAAGTGCATGTAAGAAAGGATCTTCATAAGCCCGACCATCTTTACAACTGCCTAAAATACTTAGTATTCGTAGGAGCGCTCCTCTGTCTCGTGATTTAGCTGCATGTAAAGTATAATACATTGCTAATACTCCACAAACAGAACTCTCTCTCATATAGGCCTCACAGGCATCAGGTGGAGGGCCAGAGTGTTCAATAGTGGTGATAGCTGACTCCCTTTCATCAGGAGGTAGTTTGTTATGCAGGGCTCTAACTTGATCATCAACCATGAGTGACATGAGAGCTGGCAAATACTTAGTGACAACTTGGCTGTCAAGTTTAGGTTCTTTAAATTCTTGTGAGTCAATCATCACCCATGCACTCAAACCTAAGGCCAACATTCTCAGTAAAAGAATTAATATGGTGTTGTCCCTTGGAAGCCCTTCTGTGTTTATTAAATGTTGTAATATTTTTATGGCAGATGTTGCTAAAAAATTAATTGCATAAGGATCACACAATGTCATTGAAAGGTCTCCTAATACTTGTTCTTGGCCTCTCTTTATGCTGTCAAGAAAACCTTGAAGCTCTCTAGACCTTTTGATATCAACATTTCTCTCTCTAATGCAAGCATCTAAACACCATGTGAATTTATGACAAGGGTCCACAGATATGATGTCCTGTATTTCTAAGTCATGCAATGCCATTAGCAGTTCAGCTCTTAATGTGCAATAGTGAACATTTCTAGTTCTTAGAAACAAAGTGCGTAGGAACTGTAAAACCATATCATATAATTTTACACTGTTGCCTATCATATGTGCTAGTTTTTGAACTACAGCACCTTGTCGTCTGACTTTAGGTGATGGTGAAAAGAACAAGTTGGTGAGATTCTCATGATCAAATAATACATTCTCCTTCTCTCTTATATACTGACTGAGAAGTGGCGAAACTTCATCGCCAAATAGAGATTGATTGTCCTGCCATATCTGTCTCTTTACCTCGGTATCTGTATCATTGTACAATTCTCTGTCACGCACTAACACTCTTAAGTATTTGTCATCAATGTGTGGAGTATTTTTCAAAATACCCATGATGACTGGTCTCAGTGATTTAACTCTGACGACTGGGAAACTCTTCGATAATAGCTCTTTGAGCTTTTTGTCATTTTCTTTGCTATCTTTTGAACCGAGTTCATTAATATGTGTAATTAGTTTCTCTCTTAACTCTTCTAGAACAGATGTATGGAAGTCAAGTCTTCTTACGCCATGAAGGTCTAGAAGTGGTAGCATCGGTCTTAGTGAAGGCAGTAAAATACCGTTTTCAAGCTGAAATTCTTCAATTGCTTTCAATGGATCAGTACAACTTGTAAGCGCGTCGCGTAGATAAGCCTGCCCAGGTACTCCAACATCTTCCAGCCCTGTACCAGGTAACTTGCTTGATGATGCCATTATAATATTAAGTATTTAATTATAATTAATAAACAAATTGATAAAAATAAGAAATAAACAAAAACAAAATAATTACAGATTACCCTATGCCGACAGAGTAATTATCAGATTTTTTGCATTGTTTTTTCCCCCCATCTCAGGGAAAAGCAAAAGGACTCAGTCCATACAGCCGTTGTCTTCCGACGATTTACTTTTTATATTATTGCATAGTTCTATAACTTTGGATTTTGTTTTTGGAAATTGTGGTAAGTGTAAGTACGTAGTTAAATGTAACTTTTACTGCAGTGAATTCAAATTAGAAACTTTATTTAATTTTTTACTGGCAGTGGTTAAATAACGAGTCCAGTGTGTATAAATGTAATATTCTTGTGGTATATTTTATATATATAAAAACGTATATTTAATGTGTTGTTCATTTTTAATTGTCAATCTGACAAATCTTGAAAGTTCGACACAGAGTACATTACACCATAGAGTAATGTCTCTACAGTAGCTATTATCAGATTTGCGTTTTAGTCTTTCTTTTACCGGTTTTAAAATTATTATATTTATGAGAAAATTATAATTGTAATTAATTAATTAATTATAAATAAACTTTACATTGCTTTCAATTTCTCAAGCCAAACTACCAATGTTCTATTATTATTGTAGATTCATAACCACAAATTCTTACAATTAGCAAATAAAAGTTTTCTCTGAGTTATACAGCATTACTTTTGTTTTGGAATTTGATTTGATTTTGATGGTTTAAGATCAAATCTTTCACAAACATGTCTGATAAACAGAAAACGTAAGTTAGTTTAATCTACTTTATTTAAAATATTAATATTGTAAATAATATACTTGATTATATATTAATATTATTATAGGCTCATATGCGGTGATGTGAACGGAAATTTTAATGCACTGTTTTCCCGGGTCGAATCTATTGTGAAAAAATCTGGACCCTTCGACATTCTTCTGTGCGTTGGAAACTTTTTTGGGGATGATAACTCACAGCTGGATGCATATAAAATGCGTACGAGAAAAGGTAAGAAGCAATATTTTAAATTTAGAATAAGTGTCCTAATTTCAAATAAATGTTTAATATATTTGTATTTGTTTCAGTGCCAGTAACCACATACATTTTTGGGCCTTCAAAATCTGAACATGTACAATATTACTGTGAAGAGGGATCAGAAATAGTTCCAAATGTAATTTACATGGGTAATTTTTGCCACAGTTTTATTAATTGTTAATTAATAATAGGGCAATTAAAATATTATTTATAAAATATAAAGTGAGAAGACAGAAAATCAGAGTGAAGCATTCTCATATCATATGATATGAGAATGCTTCACTCTGATTTTAATGATAGTTAATTGAATTACGTTACTTGTCCCTTATACAATGAAAAGATAAGGAGAGCTCTGGTAAATGGAATGAGTCTATAAATATAATTTAATTATTTATAATATTATATTGTAATTGACCTTATAAATAAAAAAAATATTTTACATCTACAACTTAATGAAATATGAGTTAAATTTCTACCAATTGTAATTACAGGTAAGAGAGGAATCTTTACAACAAGTTCAGATATTAAAATAGCATATCTAAGTGGTTTGTCTCGTAGAGAGCTTGGCAAGGATATTCCCATGTGTGTGTTTGAGCCCAGTGACTGTAGTGCTGTTAGAGATGCATGTTTTAGAGGACAGAGTGAGTACAGGGGCATAGATGTACTTATAACTACTCTGTGGCCTGCGGGAATACAACAGGATGAAACTCAAAAGGTAAAATTAGATAAAATAATATTTTTTTATTTCACTTTTTTATAATGATTGCTAAGGTTCTTCATTTTTACATAGCAATGCTCTTCCTATTTTAATGAATTTTAAGTATATTTTTTCTAATTGTAATGGCAAAGTAGCCGATGGCTCACATGATAATATGTAGAAATCTTCATCTTATACATGTACAGCACTATGGGCATCATATCATGTCACATCTGTGATATCACTCATGGATTGCCATACCAAAATAATAGGATTAAGTCCCTTGTAATCCCACTACTTAATTGCACCCTACAATCAAAACAGTTTACAACATAATTGTTTGAGACTGAGTTGCCCATATATATGGATATCTATATGTACAATATGACTTTGATAAAGGGGTTGAAATATTTCAGTTCTAATATTATTATAAACTTAATTTTTATTACTTTGATTTTAAATCAAGTTTAATATTATTTTATATTATTTTGGAGAAAATATCAAAAATAGATTCATACTTATCAGTCTAGTTGTCAAGGATTTATTTGTCTAAACATAGCTGTTTTATTTTCAGGTTGATATTGAAGAGGACCGGCAGTCAGACTTGTTAGCATGGCTCTCAATTCATTTGAAGCCTAGATATCATTTTGTTCCATCTGTAAACAAATATTATGAGAGACAACCATATAGGTATGCCTGTACTTAATTAAGATATTCTACAATTACTGTTAATAACTTCAAAATAATAGTAAAATTTCGTCACTTTCGGTCAGACATAGAATACCACATTCTATGTTTCTCTCTCTCTGCTCAAAATAGTATGTTATTGTAAGATTATTATAATAATAATAATACTTTTGATTATGCAATTAGGTAATTAGTTTGATTGATATTATTTGTTTATATATAATTGATATGACAAACTAGTTACTGACCCACTTGATGGGTTGTATGGCAGCTGAAATACGCGATTTAAAGTAATTCAATTGAGTTTCTTGCAATTTCTTCTCAATTGGATCTATATACCAAACTGGATGGTAGGGGAAAAAAAATATATAATGTAAAAACTTGACGTTCGTAAGCAACTAAAATGTCCTATGTGAATAAATGATTTTTGGATTTCGAATTTTGATACAGAGATGACCACACATTCCCTATAACAGTTGAAGACAAATTAATAAAGAACTGTAACATTTGTACCTTATTAATAAGGTTATTAGCTTATATATAGAATAGTTTTAAATTTAGTTCAGAATTACTTTCATAAGGCCATATATTGTCATCTAAATACTACCATAATGAATATGGATTTTAGTATTTATATTTAATTTTCAGGAACCAGAGTATTCATCAAGATTACAGAGAATGTGCTACTAGGTTCATAGGTCTAGCTCCAGTAGGTAATAAGGTGAAAGAGAAGTGGATATATGCATGTTCTTTACAACCAATCTCAAAAATGCGCATGACTGATTTGCTACAAGCCACTACAGATGAAACTCCATGTCCATATGACCCGGAACTTTTGAAACAACACCAGCCTGGCAAAGTTGTTAAGGTAATTTTATAAAGATAGATAGATACTTATATTTTTTATTCTATTTTGTTTAGATGACTTTATTAACCAATTTAAACATGGTATAAAAGGCAGATTCCATATCAACAGTGTTTATGTCTAAAAATGTATAATTAAAAAACTATACAATATTTTTCAGTGCACTGGAAATGGTCAATTTTTCTTCAATATGGATGCAGCAGATGATGATCAGGGCAAAAGAAAAAGAAAGGGTGGTGATAATCCTGAGAGAAAGAAGAAAGAAATTGATCCAGGTGTATTTAATAAATAGTATTAATTTATGTCTTAATTATTGAATATAATATCGCAATTTTTTATACAGAACTCAGATATTTCTCTTGAATTGCAATATACTCAGAATGTTCCAGAAAAGTAAGATAGATATTTTTTATGCTAAAAAAATATAAATTTGCTATAAAAAGTATGTTTTTGCATGAAAGAATAACAGGCTTCATAAACTTTCATGTTTACAATGTTAGTAGAATACATATGATTAATCTAGTAACAAACAGAATTTTTACAATCCTTTTTTTATTATCCATATTTAGATTCCTGTTGGTTCTGTCTGTCTTCACCTACTGTGGAGAAGCACCTAGTGATCACTGTGGGTACACATTGCTACTTAGCATTAGCAAAGGGTCCCCTTACGCCACACCATGTGTTAATTCTACCAATAGCTCACTATCAATCTGTTACGCGGGTAAGGTTTTTTATCCATCCACTCAACTGTTATTATAATATATAATACATTTAGTTTCCACTTTATTGATAAATAAAAAGTAAGATTTGACTGATTATGTTTTATGATGTCATCAGATGCTTTTTGCCTAAATACAGTTTCAAATCTATTCCTCTTTATCAAATTCCATACAAACTGTACCAGATTTTTTTTAGCTGTAGGAATATAAATTATATTCAAATAAACTGTTGATAATTCTAACTTTCATTTCACTCTAATAGTATATATTGGGCATTAGTGAAATGTTAAAGGATGAGTGGTTAATTCACAGTGGTATCAAGAAAATTGTATGAAGGTCGACTTGTTACATTGCTAACAATGCAAATTCATTACTTTTTTTTATTAATATGATTTTTATTATGATTTATTATTCATTTCTCCTCACAAACATCATGGCAACAATACATGTAGTATTTTTTTATAACAAAATGCTTAAATTTATTATTATAATCGATTTGCTGTGAGGAGCTGGTGTCTGAAATAGGTATAAATTGTAATAAAGATCATCAGGCCCTCAACCGAAATGTGATATATCTTAAATAAATTCTGATGTAGTATAAGCATTATAATATATTTAACAAAATATTACTGATTACTTCCTGTCTGACTACTCACAATTTTTTTAACTAGAATTTTATAATCTGCAATCCTAATATTCAAGTTTAATATATGGATAAGTATATACATAATTGTTTGTATAGTTGTATGACTGCTTATTTTATAATAGATTAAAATTTCAGGCACCAGACGATGTTATAAACGAAATAAATAAATTCAAATCCGCTCTGAGGAAATTCTTTGCGTCAATAGACAAGGCGGTGGTCTTCTTTGAAAGGAATTTTTATACTACACATATGCAAATACAGTGCGTGCCTGTGTCGAGGGCATGCTCTTCGCAAGTACTCGAAGTGTTTCAGGTATTTTTATTTAATCCAAATACAAAATTTGTGTATAAATTTTAACTATGAGTTAATTTTCTAACAATATTTTATTTATTTAACTTTCTTAATATACTTAGTTACACAAATATTATAAACAGATACATTGAAGAATATAAAAATAAATTAAAGAATGATATAGAAATATTATAAGTTTTTACTTTATTATGTTTGTGCTTTATTGATTTATTCGGGTCTTAAAGTCTTATACTATTCTCATCCAACCGGTTCATTCTAATGAAACATGAAAGAAAATGTAAATTGCGCACTAATATTATAAAGAGAGACAGAAACTCTGAATTTTAGAATTCCTTCTTTAATTATACATTATATTATACTAATAGGACTGGTCATAAATCAAAAATTTATTGTTTTGTAGGATGAAGCAGGTATAAACAGTATTCAAATTGAAGTGTTACCACCGTACACTGAAATAAGTCAAGTGACGTTGCCTGGCGCGCCGTACTTCCACGCCGAACTACCCTCCGGTGAACAAGTGTATGCCAAGACAAAACAACACTTCCCATTACAGTTTGGCAGGTAATAACTTTATTATAACTTTTTTAAATTTATTAATGAATAGTAATCAGACATATTGTATGACTAAAGATAAGGGGAACCCCAGACAAACAATAACATTACAAGAACATATGTTCTTGTAATGTTAATGTCTTCTAGGTGCTTAATTGGACACTCTGTATATAAGAAGAGTGCTGATGAGAATAAGTATAAATGATTACGATTTCTTACTTCGAACCCATTAGTTTTTAATAAAATATATTTTAGGGATGTTTTGTCAAGTACTCCAATACTAAATTGCGAAGATAAAGCAGACTGGCGACTGTGTGAACTTAGCCGGGAGGAGGAGTTGACGTATGTGGCCAACTTTAGAGAACAGTTCCGCCCTTACGACTTCACAGCCGAAGAAGACAGCGACAGCGATTAAAGTTACAATTTTACTGATGAAAGGTTAACTACAATTCAACTTTGTTTCTATTGCGTCTATGAGATCATGATGTAGATTTTTTTACAATAAAAGGTATTGTGTTTTAAGGAAACAGTTTTTTAATTCCTCTGCTTAAAATACAGGGAACTCCTTTTAAATTCGTTTGTTTGTACAGTACTTAAATGATATTTGTGCATGGCAATAGTTGTTCCTGTACGCGACCTAAATAAATAACATTAACAACCTTTAAAAAGAACAACAGTCGTATTTCTTAAGAGTTCTTCTCAAATGAATATACCTTCATAAGAAGCTAAGATGTTCTAAATAAATAAATGATTTTTGTATTTGAAGCAACAGGTGAATAAATAGTAAAACGATAGCTTTCAAGTAAATGATTTTTTAATTTTCTTTCACATCATACTGTCCTAATAACTCATTCGTTTGCATTATAAAAACATATCTGTAACAACATGATTAGCTAACTTATACATTATTCACGTGTAGTCATGTATATAAACAGAACTTTCAAAAATGATATGGTATATTGACTAATGTCACAAATGACTAGAATTAAAATGATAATATATAAATTCGTAACCATTTAAAAATTGCATGTCCATTGTAAAGTGAAATTACTGTAATTTCATGAAAATAATCATGTAACATTTCAACGACTCTACTTAAACTACTTAATGATCTTCGATTGACTAGCATAGGTATTTGGGTCTAGTATTTTATATAAAATAGATCTCAATTAAATATAGGGCAGTCTTCGTTGGATTACTAAAGAGAGTCAACAAAAACAATTGTAAACCATTAAAAATACCACACAACTCACTTAAAAGTGTCATTGAATACAAAACGTTGTGCCATAAGACTACATGTTACGACGGGAAAAGGATTTCGGTCGCTGTGAGTGCAATCCTCAACAATATGGTTCACAGACATTTGTCCTTTCGGATTACGAGTAGAGCTAACTGCCGTTGACCATCTCTAATATCTCTCGCTCACCCGCAAATTATATTCTGTATAACGCGTAGGATTATTTTACTTTGAACTCGCTGTGATTGCCTGTACTTTCCCCGTCGCAATATGCATATTCCTTAAGTGTTCAACACTCGTAAACTATACTACAACATATTCGTTACAGTTCAAAATGTATAATACAAATTTAACTTTTTGCCATATTCACCAAAAAACTATAGGTAAGTGTATTGTCTTATGTTGCTGTTTACTGAGGAATGCGTATTACTAATATTTGTCACATCGATTAACTCTGAATCACATAAAGCATAATTGATTCTTACGTTTATTATCCTTAGATAACGCAGTACATGGTACCGTATTATTAAAGAACATGTTTAAAAATATTCTGCTGTATAAACGCTACCAAGAAGTGTCTACTACTATAGAAAATAGTAAAAAGAATAATTGGTACATTACAATCGTAAAATGCTGTTTAAATCCATATCACACTAAAATGGCGGCAGTTAACTTGGTGGCTAACATTTCTTATTACAACAGCACAAACTGTTTTAAATTATGTATGTCTTTCCTTTTCAGAGATTCTATTTACAATACCGCTAGCTTGGTTTGTGATATACATACTAAAATCATTTATTTATACAATTTCAATCTGTTTTGACGGAGAGTTGTTAGCCACTGACTTACATATGACCTGCTGCCATTTTAACGTGTTTTATTAACACTGAGGCTGAAGTGTTCGCATAGCAGCCTTTATAATTGTTCTTTTTCAAATAGTAGGTACTTTTTTGTATAACATTATCTTAACTGGAATACAAAATTCCTTAATTATTATAGTTACTTGGTTAAAAATCGGATAAAACAGTGTCGCTGTTAGCACTTACAAACGTTTTTAACTATCATATATATAAATTATAAATATGTACCTATGTAAAAATTTTCATTTTACACCATTCAAATCTTACGGTTATAGACAATGATAAGTTTTATTTTAATTAATGAAGACGAATATTTTTCATAAACTTTACAACAATCAAACAATTCGTAATTAAATATTGGATATAATTTTTCCAATTACATCCGTAACTAGTTTTAAGACTTTGGTCAATAAGGCATTAAGTTTAAAATATATTTTTTATTTTAATTATTGTTCTTCTTAATATTATATTCGATAGTCTTAAGAGTACGTTTTAATTACAATGTTATTTACATAACGAGGGGTTGCTACAGTAAACCGAAACTGCGTAAATATAATATTAACTTGGCACTATTAAATTTTATAAACGTGCCATAATGCTCTATTATAAAATTTAATATATAAATTCAAAAGTAATAATTTGTATGAATTTTTTAATAATGCATATGTGATGTGTCGGTATATCGTAGCAGACCCTTTATACTATACTGGTAGTATACGCCAAACCAGTGCTCATTCTTCATACACGTTTAATAAAATACTCGATTTCGGAGTACAAAAATGATTATTGTATAGCACTAAAGAGTAATAATTATTTTGGCTATACCTACCTATCTACAGATCTATATGTACACGTAATAGTATGAAAGTCATATTACGAATTAATATTTGGCAACAGTCATAGAATCTATTTCGTTTAAGCGCCGCAAACTGCTTAATTCGATAAATATATGATATCGACATTTTATACATTCGTTACATTTATAGCGTTTTACTTTATTATGGAAGTTGTATAATATTAACTCCCATTTCCTATACACAATACTTTTTTTTTACAAAGTTCAGTATAACAGGATGTAAGTATTGTATACCAACATTATGATTAATTTATTCTAGTCTCAAATTTTGCTATTGTAGCCAAGATTTATTATTAAAATCTGACAATAGTGTTGTCAGTTTTTAAAGGTATTACAGAAAGTACCTGTAACCTATATAGTCTTCAATGCATCAGTAGTACCCACTGATACTGTAATCAGTCGGAAACACTGATGCATTGAAGACTGGTTCTCATTGATTATCAACGCTAAGGGCGACAATAAGCGTTCCAATTTTCATATCTCGTGCATTGAGATTATAATGTAATAATTGGAATAAATTTTTAAGTCACCTCCGTTTGTGTTCTTTACGTTATCTACGGTATTCCATATATAGGTAAAGTTCCAATTACGAGTATACCCGAAAATTCATCACTCAAATATAATTTTTTTTAATAAGCCCTTTTAATAAGTCATATTTTCTTTTAGATTTTATTGTTCTTTTCAAGTTCACTTTTAATTAATATCATGTGGTCCCATGGACCAGCTTTCATCCTTACCTTCACTGGAATGTTAATAAACGCCTCTGCGTTTACTTTGCGTCTCAGACATTTATTTGGAAGGCTTCTCTGGTCATCTTAGCTTCTGGTGCATGCTGAGGATGTTGCGGATGTGATGGATGTGACGGGTGAGGATGCGGCGCGCGCTTTCTTCGATGATGACCCTCACACTCTGTATCGTCAGAGAAACGGGATGGCGGATGTATGTGATCGTTGAACGATGGATAATTGGATATACTGCAAATTAAAACACTTAATTTTTAAAACGCATGTATATAACTGAATTCGTTATTGCTGTTTCGATACAGTTCACCAATTGTGAACTGTATCGAAACAATACAAATATTACAAAAGCGGTTTCGTTGAAAAAATTAAATACCGAAACTATTACACCAGCTAGAGAAATTAGTTCACTGTTTAAATGGCACATTATTCCAAATAGATATAGGCTATTACATTAATTATCATCATCACAAAGTTAGCACTCGAGCGATGCCGGTGCGAGCCACTGCTAGTTATGTAGCCATATAATAACAGGTAGTTGGGCCTATACAACAATTCTGCTAAGTGAAATTATTGCGACAAGTGTCAGAGAATATATCGAGAATAGAGGGAGAAGGAATATATATATATATATACAGAGATTATTAAGAATGGAGAATTCTTTTGAAAGTAATGTGTCGATGGTGTTTATACCTGAAAGTGGTCTCGTCGTTGTGACTGCTGTATCCGCTGGAGGAGCGCACGTGCCGCTTTCCTAGAGCGGCGGCTTTACCCTTCCGCGATGGAAATGCCTTCCTAACGAGGACGCCACCTCCGCCTAGTGACGTCTCTGATGATGACGACGATTCCTCGCGTTCCACTGAAGGGTCTGTGGAGTTGACAACTTAAGGTCAGAACTTTTGATATTTCTATATTGTATAACTAATGTAGTGATCGTTGTATGTTCTTAGTAAAACTGAACCTGATCTCGAAATATCAGGATCTCCCATTTGTTGAAGTATCAGTAGAAACAAGCGTGCATTAGGTTAGCAGGATTAGGGAGCTGTATAAAAATATCTTCTGTTACTTTTTCAACACAAACAAAAGTAGAGTAGTGTGAAACTGACCTACCTACCTTCAGTATTCTCTCATCAATTAAGTTCTAAGTCAGACTTTGTTTTTTTTTTAATTGACAAATAATGTAGATATTAGTGAATTTTAATAGGACTATTCATAAAGGGTAAATTCTTTTCTATACCAATTAAGAGAAGTCATACTGAAGGTAGGAAAGATGTTTTTTTATTTTAAGTTTGAAGCAGACTATATAAAAAGTTGTCTGCATGACTACCTCAGTCTCGCCTACATCAGCCAACAAGCAGCTTCTTGCTTAGATTGCAGTTACCGTAAGAGTTATGTATGTTATGTCCTGCAGATTGGCAACACCTGAAGGGCGATACATGAGCGGTATCACAGGCGTCACATGATAATGTCCATGATGCTGTTTATATGCATCGATTAATAGTTACTATTGGGTGGACCGTTAGGTCGTTTGCCATTGCAATAATATAAAAAAACTGACAGGCGGTAGGATGTGCGGGTCGCAGCCGCGCTGCAGGTTCGCTGTCCGAGTGCGGGGCGCTGGCGTCGTCGCTGGCGTCGTCCTCGTACTCTGTAATGGGCAGGTGCAGCGTTAATATCTTCTTCACCTCCGAGTCCGTCGATCCCAAGTTGTCCGACTCTGTAATACAACCGGTTTATTATACGGGTGTCCACCACTGGCCACGATTAGGTGAAGCTGCGTTTATGTCATGGAAGCAATACTGTTTTGTATAGTGTTGAAATTGATTAATCACTTTATACTTTCCCTTGTTCAGTGGTTATGTTATGTGTATATCTAAGGAACTATGGTTTAGATTGATAGGATTCTGTCTAATTTTTATATTTTTTATTGGTCAAGCATAAAGGCTTCAATTGGCTTGAACTTCAGTGACGCATAATATTAGGCATCTGCATTCACAAGCCGTCAAACAGTTTTTGCATTCTTAAATTTCGCAAAATATGGATTATATTATTATATAAACTTGGTACATTCTATGGATGCTGAATTTTGTATCTTCATTTAATAATTAAATATAAATTTATATATTGTGGTATGCAGTTTTTGTTTCTATGACATAATAAACTTATCGCAGCGAAAAGCATGTAATGCGAGTAAAATGTTTTATGAAGTGTTAGCATGCTCATGATTAGCCATCAAGCATATATAGGTAGGTAACATAAATACAATAACAAGAAAAAATACTGCATAGGACGCTTTCAAAGCTTTGGTTTATATCCTTATTTACTGAAGCATGGAATTACTAACAAAACACAGAATAAACAAAAATATATTTTATAATCACCGAGGTGAATTAAAAAGGACATTGATTGAATACTAAATAGTTTAGATTATAAAAAGACGTCTGCGCGGGTGCCTCAATCTCACCTAAATCAACTGCCAAGTAGCTAGCTTTGTAAGGTGCGTTTCGGTTGTAGGATCTGATTAGTCAGTGAAATTACAATAACATCTTAATCCGCATGAGGACAACTGCGGGGGTCAGGTCCAGTAAGGCGATGCCCGTAGTGCTATTCATATAAATAGCAATAGTACTATATACAATACATATATAGGTGACCATTACCGCTAGGCCGTCAGCTTGTTTGCTATTCTTATTAAATATGTTATTATATATTTTATTGCATATGTTAGTCTATAAATGAAAAGGTTTAAATAGTGTTCTTTTTTAATTCACCTCAGTTTTTACTATACATACAGTGTGCATGCTTACCTTTATAAATTACAGACCATTTACGCTCCCATCAGGTTGCATAAAAGGCGAGTATTATATCAAATTTGAATATTAAATACTTAAATTAAATGGGTTTAAAATAAATTCGATAGAAAGTGCGTTCTACAAGAAATAAAAATTTAGCTAGCTACTTATCGACAAGCTCTGTATATACTTGTACTTATTGTGCGTAATATTGTATAGTAAACTGTACCTTGACTCTCGGAATGTGGATCACGGAATCTGTTCCCTTTTCTTCTTACTTTTGTATACTCAGGTTCTTTGCCCTATATAAGTAAATTGTTTATTATTGTTTGTAACGGTATGTTCGTACATAAACGGTAGATGGGAGTGATTATACCTATGTGGTTCTTTGTTAATACAAATAAAAATCAATTTCAATTAAATATAGTTGTTTAAATAAGTATGCGAGTATTTAATACATCAATAATATAGTTATAAAATTTTTTATTACTCTATGAAATCTGAAATAAAAATACTACTGAGTATTCCGTCAAGGCGAATCAAATACAAATATATTGACAATGAATACTGTACTAACTGTATTGCGTGGCGCGGCCTATGTTACACGTACGTGAAATAATGTTTAAGTATTTTTGTAGTTAAGCTATTACAAACAAATAAACATACAGAAAAATCTTCCCTCTTTATAATTATACACTATGACGCTTTATTCATACAGCAAATCAAAAATAGTTGAATAGCGATCTTACCTTATATTTGTCGTTTTGTTTAAGGTCGTGGTACACGAAAGAACCCCTAACGGAGTGATAAGGCCCACTGTACACGTTACCGCTGTAACTGCTCTCGCTGTACGCAGTCGGTTTGGTCAGCTGGAATGTTGCGTATGGACAGATATCTTCTATGTACTCTGTGGGTTGAAAAATAACCACCGTTGCATAAGTTAATATATTTTAATTATGAATGACTGTGATGCAATAAAGTGTATAAATAAAAAAAATAGGTAAATAAAACAAAACTTACTATCTACGGTAATTATATGTAATAAGCGTTACCATTAGAGGCATGTTTGTAGTGGTGCTGGGGTGCTGGATGCTGCGCTCTCGCGGCCAGGTACTGTTGGTCTCGATTAACTTTGTTCTGGAGTTGTGCGACTGACGGTGACTCGCCGACCCCGCTCTCCGTGGCCACCGTCTCTGTACCGCCACCTTCTGAAAGACCAGTCGGGGTAATCACGATATTATGGTTGTTGAAGAATTCATTAAAATATATAATACTGATTAAAACTAACATTACAAACGCGGGAGTTTGTGAGTGTGGATAAAAATGTCATAATAATAATAATAAACTGCCATCTCCTCTCCTTAAGATGGGAGATGATAATTTTTGTAAAATAATAATAATAATAATAAACTCTTTATTAAACACAGAACATAGAAGAAATACAATAAAAAAAAATCAATAAATAGAAAATCATGAACAAAAGGCGGTCTTATCGCTATAAGCAATTTCTTACAGACAACCTGCAAGATAAGACTAACGTACACAGAAGAGATAGATGGCACACTACATAATTCCATTCGTTTAGAAGTTACGATGTCACAAACACATTGATATTCAGACAAGACAAAGTCATAATACTAATATTTTGTGATGGCAGTTAAATAGAATAAAGAGTAGGGAGCGTGTTCTCACTGTTCCTGCGCACGAGGAGTACGATGGCGACGAGCGCGGCGAGCACGAGCAGCGACAGAGCGGCCGGCAGCAGCACGCGCGCGCCGCCCAGCGCCCGGGCGCCCGCAGCCGGCGCAGCTGGAGACACCTCGCCCTCCAGCACTGATACATTTTTTTCATTAGCTGCCTTTTTGTATGTGCTTTCACGCAGGAAAGAATGAGCATGTAAATGTACACAGAGAGAATGAGACCGCCGAGCAGCTTGCCTTGAAAGCTGTATTTTGGTTGGAAGGTGCAGATGAAACTGTGAAATTACAGGATAAGGGACATGACATCTTAGTCCTTTGGAATAGTAACTTCATTACGCGGTATCGTCGTAGTGCTATTTTCTATATAGTATTATAACTGTACATAAACGGCTACGTTTACCATCAAGTTGATCGTGATGTTTGTTATTTCAAATAGGTAGGTACATAAAAAATCGTCTACTTTGCCCGACACACCTTAAAAGGCGGATAGGACTGTTTCATATATGTAGCTTGTGTACAGATAGATAGAAAAGGTATGTGCTATAGCAAAATTGCAGATATTACTTACAAAATGAAAAAAAAGAGTATGTAATGTAAAAAGGAACTAACGTCCGGTGAGCGAGTGCGTGGTGAAGTTATAAAGTGCGAGTGCGTGCCCGGCGTTGTTGTGCGCCGTGATACGAAGTTGGTACTGCGTGGCAGCCGTCAGTCCCGTCACGCTGAACACGCGCTCCGTCGCTTGCACGCTGTTCGACACAAGCCGCCACTGCACAGAGCACGAATATTGAAGCGTGACAGTACGACATAAGGCAGTGAAATTACAGGTTACGGAGGCATGACAGTGTAGTCCTCTGGAAGTGTAAACCATGAATGTTGTAAAAAAGGCACTAGTAATATGGCACTAGTTCCTAAGTTAGGTTAAATTGTTGTCCCAATACCCTAACCTAACCTAACCTGGTTACCACTTACTATCGGCCCTTGGGCTTGTTTGCTTTTTCAATTACATAATAAAATATTTTAAAAATTTAATTAGGTTTTATTAGGTTGAATTATTTTATTTGTAGTCTAATATACAAACTGAGAACAAACGAAGGAGTTTTACATCTACTATGGTATAAAAAAAAATATAAAGGCACTATTACTACCGAGAACTTTAATTTAATTTACCGAACTTTAATTAATAGAGTTTTGTGTAGTGTAGGTACACTTTGCTTCCTTGTTAAGAATTTATTATTCCATAGTTAGAAGAGCAGATAAATATCTAAGTATGTTGTCCTCAAAAAGGGAATAAGAATTACGTACATATAATAATACATATGTACGTGACGCAATCTAAATAAACCACAGTCGGGTAAAAAACTTACTTGTGATTGGCTGATTTCTCTATACTCAATTACAAAATACAGTATGCCGCAACCACCGTCACCCCACGAGTCTAACCACACTGTGACCGTCGTTGTGTTGAGGGTTATCATTTGTGAATGCTTCGGCTTTACAGGCACTGAAATTTTGTACCATTTTTTATGAAATATATATATATATATATGTAAATAAAAACAAATATCTAAGCGTATATAATCATACTCGAAAACGGTCGAACCTATTTAGCTATTTTTTAAAAGGCTATTACTACTACTAATATTTTTAAACTTTTCTCTTCATACGAAATGAAGAGAAAAGTTGCTCGATAAACGGGCAGATACACCTCTCTTTTCTTTTTTACGTATAAATTGCTTTTAATTCTCAATTTTCATTTTAGAAGAGAATAGGTATTAAAATTTTCGAGTTAAAATTGAGATTAATGACACAGACTAACAAACAGATGACAACAAGCAAAATTAAAAAAATATATAATGTGGTGAAGTTTATCTAATAATTACATCGTAACCGCAATAATTTTAACAGAACATGGAATCTACTTATTATTGTATTTCTACGGCACGGTCGAAATTTTCCAAAATGAGCACTCTCTGAAAAGTTTTCATTGTTTACACATACCTATACATATAATATTATACTAATCAGAAAATAATATTTAAATATCATATAATGGTATGGTAATATAAAAGGTCAAGTTAGTGAATAATACTTCTAGGTACTTACCAGTGCCTTTAGTGTACGCGTGTACAATGTCACACGGTAGCCCTGTTCCTATCCGATTGAAGGCGGTGATGTAAAGCTGGTACCGAGTACCGCACCACAAGTTTGGCAGTACGTGTTCCGAAGTACCCGCTTCCACTTGGAGCTCTTCCCAGTCACCATGCTCGCGTTTGTAGTTGATCACATAACCTGGTGTGGTACATTACAATTACATAATGAAGGTCTAATATCTACTAGTGAGACGTCTTTTAATTAGGTACGACTGAGTGCAAATATTGTATGAATTAAATTAATAATTACACTGAATAAATTTCTGAAATATTTATTCGTTTCTATTCATACAAATTTCGGCTTACCATGTAAATTTCTACAACATTTGTTTAAAAGGCAACAGCCACGTCTTTAATTCATTATTATAAATTAACCATGTGTTTCAAATGAGGCGTACAGATTACAAAGAAATAACTATTCTAAGGTGCATAAGTTTAAATAAAGATTGTTTCTAGTTTTTTTTATGTAATTCTAATGACAAATAAGCTGACAGCTGCTAAACAGGCAGTATTTGTCATGTGGCATTTGTGATACCACTCATGATAATGATATCATGAGTGGTATCACAAATGCCTCTTATCTTGTAAAATCACTGCCTATCCTCCCTACAAGCGTAATAGCCTACAGAGTAAGCTGCTTGGTGGTTGAAATAGATGAAACTGAATGGCGCCCCACGCATACGATTTTTAGTCTACGTCTGGTAGTGTATTTTATTAAAACAGTCACTTTTGCGTTAGTGATAAATTACAGTAGAATACATTTTTATTTATTGGTTTTTAAATTTACAAATATAACATTGCACCACACTCTAGGGGAACCTGTATCGTAGGAGTCCACAAATACATATTCTTTTACTAACAATAGGGGATTGCATATGATGTAAGGGGATTGTTATCAATGTGGACTGATGGACCTATTGCTAGTAATGTACCATATCAGGGTGAATTCCACGCGGTTCCTCCTGGAAACCATCGTGATATATTCCTAGTAAATTTTTCACAAAGGACTAACTGACCTGACCTCATGTTCATTTGATAATCCTCTACTGGTAACTCGCCAGCGTAAACCGTTAGCCCAGGCGTACTATTCCATTATCATCTATTAAAAAATACCTAGAATAGGGCTGCCGCCGTCGCCCTGGTCGCTCCACTGCAAGTGTAACGAGTCAGCGTACGAGTCGACCACCGCCAGGACGGGAGGCTGCGGGGGCACCTTCACTTCCACGCTGTATGTCACCTCGTCACGCCCGTGGGGATTGTCCACTATACAGGTGTAGTTGCCGCTGTCGGCATACTGCGTCATGCTGTCGGAATTATATAACATTTATTAGAAGGTAATTTATGGTTTAATTTATGGTTTACAGTTGTGCCTATTTGCCTTTGTAATATTTCTGTCAACACTCATTGCACTTCCATTTCTTTATGTATACATACCGCATACGACTCCGCGTTGAGAATAGGACTTACTAATAAGCCATATAGCCAACTATCAACTTCAATTACTACACCTGTAAACCCACTATCTAGATACTACAGGAAACAATACATCATTATCGACATCTCATCAAATATTTTTTTTTAATATTAAGAATTTTTAATAATGTTTACCTAATGACGAGTGTACCCTCGATGCTGACATTTTTCCGTAATGTGGACTCGAGGGTAGCACCATTCATACTCCACGTGGTGGTTGGTGTGGGTACACCTACTTTGTTACATGACAGCGAGATGTTCTCCTTCCACGGCGTTACTATGCTACGACTGAACGAGGTTATGCGAGCGGGCACTGTAAATTTAATTGGTTAAAATTGAATAATTAATGAATTTGATTAAATAATGTTTAATATTATAGTAGTAGTATAATAGCATATTGGTGTTAATATTGGCATCAGCGATAAAATATTTTGCTACTGTATCTATATCGTCTCTTTGTCGTGTATTATGAATTTGTAATATTCAATCGAGTTGGAGTGAAATAGTAAGCAATGGAATGTACACCTTTTTACGATTATAAATTAATTACCCTGGACATTCTATTCAGCACCATCTAATCTAGCCACCAGCTAAGCAGAGGTTGTGATATGAATATTAAACAACTAATGTAAATACTCTCACTTTGCACTCCTTCTCTGTATATATTATAAGTGTGCGAAATTTTATACACCTCCGTCCTCGCCGTCCGTATTTTCGTAAAAAGGGGTACAAAGTTTTTGCTTCGCGTATTAATATATAAGTCATAGTAATATTTTTAATATAATATAACTTACCAGACTCGGATGGCAATACTGTGACTACGCGCGTAGCTTCTCCTTCACCCAGGCGCGTAGAGGCCGACACCCAGAACTGGTGGGTTGCATGCGGGGGCGATCGCGCCGTCTCGTGGGACAGTGTGCTCGGGGAAAGCATCCTTTTGTGTGTACCTTCCTATATATCATAGAGCGTGTTATTATTATTATTATTTTATTTATTATTAATTTAGATAAGTACGTAACGAGTACTATTATAGTGAGTATAATACATTTACAATGCTCTGATATAAGCCCTAAGAGAGATATATCGCTCATCGTTATTTAATGACAAGGTTTATATGTAGGCTAATATGTAAATTTAGAAATCAAATGGGTTGAAATAGTATGGGTTCCTGGGGCAAATCCTAAAGTGTTAAATAATATACATATTGCTATTTGTCGAAATCAACGCATAACATCCGGAATTCGAAATATTTATCGATAGTTTTTCTTCATGAATCAACATTACATGTCTAAATATCTGTTGCGTTTACTTGTATGACGTAAAATGAACTAGTGTTGGCACTATTGGTGTCCAAATTGATTTCTTATGATGCCAAATCTCTTATGTACATACTTATATGTTTTCACATCTTAGATCCAGGATATGGCCCGACAACCCATGTGCTAGTTATAAGTCTTCTTGATTTAGCTATCCGATATGTATTAGAAAATAAGTAAATACCTCTCTTCCATCTTCTATGACGCTCATATAGAGTGTATATCCAACCAGGACACCATTAGGTGACGACGGCGGTAGCCATGAAACTAATATCTTATTGCGAGATGACACTACCGCTTTAATGTCAGCCGGCGCAGAAGGCACTGTAAAGAAATTGGCGTATATCCTCAGAATCATGACAGTTTTTCTTGAATCCATAGTAGCGGGATCTAAATGCTTCTATTATATTAAGCTAATTTATTGTTAGCGACATCTATCCAACGCAAACTGAAGACGAACTGTCATCAGTGTGAAGTGGGACAGGAATATAAGTAATAGCAAGAACTTTACTCAGTTCTATTTTTTTCTTTGTATTTTTTATTTATTATTTACTGCCATATATATATGTCAAGTAATAAAAAAAGAATGATTATTAAAGGTCATATCATAAGAATGATTACTTAATAACAATGGCAACAAGATAAAGGGGAAGGCGCAAACATTAATTAATATAGTTTCTACGCAAAAAGCAAATAATACAAAGTTCTTTCAAAGAAATTCTGACTTTAGTTTTTACCTAACCATTTCTACAATACTGTTTCGGTGTTGTTGTTAAAAATTCAATCAAAATTAACATAAATAGGTATAAAATTTAATTAGTTTGAAACGTGTGCTTAATCGTCTATCGTAAATGTTTGGTGATCATTAAAGATGTAAATGTAACGCGTGATAGTGGCAATAGGACGCGGAAAGTTAGGATTGAGCAGATATATGTTAGTCCGTATTTACCCAGCGTCCGTAATTCCCCCATTCTCCCCTAGATTATCATAACAAGTAACTAGAAAAGATTTCACAAAAAAAAAGGTTTCGATATATAAGTATGTTAAAATGAGCATTATTGACCACTGACCATCTTCCTCGGTGTGACAATACACAGGGGCAGCCCGGACGCCATCGCCGGCCGACGTGAACGCACACACAGTCACAGAGTAGTTCGTGTATCGGCGCAACCCTGACAATGTTGTGTGTAGTCCTGATATCTGTTTCGTTACTGCTTCTTCGTTACCTAAGAATAAAAGTAAATTAAGGATTATATACTTTATCTTGAAGCAAAAAATGTAGCAATTCATGTATCATCACGTGAAGAACGAACAAATTATGAAGATTAACTTAATTATTATTAGATATAATATGACAGAAATACTTAACTTATACATAAAACTGTACCATACTAGTTGGCGACAAAAGCAGACGTAATCATAGTTATTGAGACTACTTAAAGCTATTTTTCTTTGACTATCTGCACACTGTCTTCTACCGAAAACAAGATATTTACTAATAGCCAATCCAAAAAGCCTTACGAAGTGGTATGTATCACTTCTATCAGGATATCTATACTTACCATACCAATCGGTTACGGGCGCGTACGTAAGCCGGTAGCCTTGCACGAGACCATTCCGCGCGCGTGCTGGTGGCGGTTCCCAGGACGCTCGCACCGACTGCGAGCTCAAAGCTGTGCACTGTAAGGCACCCGGCGGCAAGCTTGGCACTATTCAACATCACATACACCTTTTGTTTTTATTACGCTTTAATTTGTTTGAACCTCTCTCCCAGTTTCAACCACAGTCTTATAATATTATTGCTAACAAATATAAAAATTATTACAGAAAATATGTTTTATAGGTGTTTTATAATCCCCTCCGATCGATTCCCTGTCCAATTCAATCGGGGGCGAAAGTACTACGGTCTAAGCTGAGGTTCGAAACCCTAGTGGTAATCATACTAAAGGCAAATCTGCCAGTTTTTTTTGAAAGAATTTAGCCTTCAACCGTTCTATAAGTCTTTCCGTGGATTTGATGTGCCATCTGCCCTATCGTTCCATGAGCTGTAAAGTCCAGCTATGGCCAACAGTACTAAAACAGTTCGAAACAAAATTAGTACTATATAAAAACCAAAAACTAACCGACTGAAAATTACCTTCAGTTTTTGGCTGTATTTTAAAAATAAATCTTGATGTTAGCTGTAAATATATCACGATACTGTGAACCATTTTAAATTTATATCTTATTCATGACAAAGCTATTATATATTTACCGTCTTCCATAGTAGTAGCAGTGGTGGGTGGCGAGGCTGGCCCCGCGCCCCTACTATTGTACGCCTGCACGACGACCGCGTAAGCGGCGTGTTTCTGCAGCCCCGAGAGTGTGGTCCGCGCCCGCGCCGTCCCTGCTCCCTCCACTGTACGAACCGTGTACGACGCACCGCCCGGCCCACTCGCACTTAGCACTGTACTGTTGCTGTTTAGCTGAATACCATACATAAAATACAATCGTTTACCAAGCCGCGTCTGTTCATTACATCAGTGAACCATAGAAAGCAATGATTCTCGTTAGGCCAATAATAAAAAATGAAGGCAGGTAGACCGTCTTAGAAGGCCAATCAATGGTCGTCTTTTTAATTATTGATCCAACTACCACTAGTCCATTAGTACTACCTTCTATAGTCGATCTACCTTATTTATTACAAAAATATAAATGCTCCAAGTTATATCAGCGACGTATTCAATTTAAAAAAATATGCATATGCAAGCTAATCGAAGTAATGGTTTATCTGATTTGAATACAGTTTTCCCCGAGGACTTCTAGTAAGGTTCCCATAATAATTAATGTACGTTTCAATAAGAAAGAAACCTCTAGAAAGGTACTATTACTATTTAAAATAATTATGACATACTTCTTGAAATCCCACGTAGTACCCAAGAATGTTTCCATTCCATAAGTCTCTCTGTGGTGGCTCCCAGCTCACTATTAATTCTGTCGAACTTTTTGCTTCCACTCGCACGTCTAATGGAGGACCACTTGGCACTGAAAGAGGTTTTCAAACTAAATAAAAAAGTCTGAAGTTATAGTAATTAACGTATGGCAGTAGTATACTCGATATAAGACAACTATCAATTACCGTTTTAAAAGGAAAATTGTTTACATTATTTTTACTTGATGCACCTATGAGCCAATTTAATTTAGGTTCCTGTAATGATCGAATTGAGAAATTCACTTCTCAATTTCTCAATTGGATCATTACAGGAACCTACTTAACAAAAGTGTAGTCGGCCCTGTTGTTTGTTTCTTTTATTTCAACTACATTATATAAGTAAACGACCTACTGACATTACTAGCAAATGCTGTGATTAGCGTTGGATCTATTCTTCTTAAAGAAACAGTTATTAATAAACCAATACTAACCTTCTTCAGTAGTAGTAACTTGTATAAGTTGACTTGGCTCACTCTGACCTAGTCTGTTTTCAGCTATGATTCTTAGATGGTATGATGTTGCAGGCTGGAGATTTTGTACGCTTGCTGACGTCACACTGCCAGGAACTATAACCTTCTGTGGAGTGGTGGGCCATGGCTCTGTAATATTGTCAAACTTGTTTTTTATTCTATATATTATTTTCTTTTTCTATGGTTCGTTGTAGTATTAGTAGTTCATATAGTTTCACTTTTTATGGTTTTGTCTTTTATTCTATCAATGACAATGTACGTAATTCAACAACGATATAAAGGGCGCTATTAAATTGACCGGAGTCAAACATGTTTCTAGTGTCTATATCTTTAGTTTGAATAAATATAAAATCAACATAAATGAGGGATTTGGTATATGAAATAATAGGACTATTGAAGGCAGGAATGTATCAATGAATGTATCAATTCAACCCCAAGAAGACACAAGTTTGTACGTTTACCGCTAAAAATAATCCATTTATCGTATCTCCTCAGTTTCAAGACACTCTCCTTGATGTGAAACCAAACCTCGAGGTCCTTGGCGTTGATATATCCAGTGACGTTCAGTTTTGCGGTCATTTGGAGGACAAGGCTAAAATAGCCTCAAAAAAGCTTGGTGTGCTCAGCAGAGTGACACGGTATTTCACGGCGGCCCATCGCTTGCAATTATATAAGGCGCAGATCCGGCCGCATATCGAATATTGTTCTCATCTCTGGGCGGGAGCACCACAATACCAGCTACTTCCACTTGACCGTATTCAGAACCGAGCAGCCAAAATCACAGATAATCAACGTCTATGTGACAGACTCGACACATTGGCTCTGTGGCGAGATATTGCATATCTGTGCATTTTCTACCGCATATATCACGGGGAGTGTTCTGAGGAATTGTTCGGATTAATACCAGCTGCTGAGTTTCACCACCGTACCACCCGTCAGAAACTAAAATACCATGATCATCTGGATGAATGGCGGACCTCCACAGTGCGGTTTTCAAGAAACTTTTTGCCACGCACAACCACATTATGGAATCACCTTCCAGCAAAGGTATTTCCGAACCGATACGATATTGAAACCTTCAAGAAAAGAGTTTATTCCTTTTTAAAAGGCCGACAACGTACTTGCAATTCCCCTGGTGGTGCGGGTGCTCATGGGCGGCGGTATTCACTTACCATCAGGTGAGCCGCATGCTAGTTAGTCCCCTGTGTTATAAAAAAAATCTCACCGTTATTTTGGATACAACAAGAATTAAATAAAGAAATTGGAAGAAACCTTTGCAGAGTTCTTAAGTAATCTTATTAACATTGGTATTGATGAATTTCTAATAATAATTATCTATAACATAAAACATGATACAGTATTATAATTACCAGTAGCCTCTTTGTATTGAACAATGTAATTTATAATAGGACTGTTGCCAGCGTATGGTTGCGTCCATGATATTTGTATCGACCTCGACTGCTGATCGATTATTCTTATATTTTTCGGTAATTCAGGCACCTTAAATAAAGAATATGATTTTTAAATTCTACAATAATACAGTGTTTAGTCAAAATAATTGCACGTAATTAGTAATGGTACCTACCTCTTGCACAACCAAATGAATGAGCATTTCATCTTGACCATAAGCATTTGAGGCTCGACATGTAAGCGCTCCTGTGTCTTGTCTATAAGTCTGCAATATACTCAATTCGGAGACCAGTCCATCGTCTAGAACTTGTTCCCGAATTGTATATCTATGAAATATAATAATAATTAACTACCTATATTGATTAAATCAATGATTTGCCGTACTTAATTATTCCTATCTAAGAGTCGGAAATCTTCTTAATCGCAAAATTTTTGGAGTATGATCTTTTAACATAAATCAAGGTATTTCTGTTTAGATTAGATGGGAATAATTAAGTAAGGCAAAAGAATTCATGCAGTCGTAGCCGAGGCAGACTTTGTTAGAAGTCACCTGCTTCTCTGCCATACCTATTTAAGGTGGCCAGTAACCAATTTGATTAAATACTTTTCCAAGTAAAAATGAAATAAAAGCATTCCATTCAATTATTTTTACCTTTGGTCTAAATGGTGAGCGATTGTATGGTGATGTGGACTACGCCAGCTAACTTCCAACGGTGCATCACCAGAAGCAGCGCATTGCAGGTGCGCGGCCTCTCCCGCTGTCACTTGTACTGTTTTGCTTTTCATTGGAAACCGAGCCGGCGCTAAGTATGTGATTGACAACATTAGCATTCGTAATTTTTTTTTTATATTAACTCTAAATTTATAGTCTTAATGTAAATATGAAGTTCAATTACCTTCATATCTACGTAAGTGATAAAATAGAAGTAGTAAGTAAATCGGAAACATGCTATATATGTAAAATAAACTGTTTTGCATAAAAAAGGTATATTTTATTCTTTAACGGTTTGTTCTCTCAAATTTAACTAATGTTTTTTTCTTAATATCAACATTATTTATAGACGTTGTTATAGGAGGGAGATTCTTGGAAATGATTGCCCAGATTGTTTGGTAAAACTGGGTCTGGGACGACGAAAGATTTAGTAGGTATAACGTCGACTCGTGACCGTTGCGGTCGCTCGCTGTAATTTATTGTCCTGCGCTGTGTTTACGAAACCTCTCACATTTTTGTGATTTACTGCTTGTAATAAAACCAGCTCATTTAAAACAGGAGACGTATTTTATCGGAGAATAGCATTTGTTAACTCTTTGTTCCAGTTGGGTTTGAGTAGATAGACATCGGTAAACTTTAAACGCGCAAATTGTTGCTGGCAGGGGCCATGTCAAACAAGCGCGAAACGTTATTACGGCTAGCAGAATTGTTTACAAACTGGTTTCGGACGTGACGGTCTTGTGGTATCGCGACCACTGTTGATCTAACAAATTTTCTTTCAGCATTGTTTGAAGATTTCTGACTTGCATAAATCAAACTTATCTTTTCTTTGGGGAGTATAAGATTCTTCCATCCTTAAAAGCTTTAACATGGAATAATATATGTGGTGGGCGGTTGCTGATATTTTACGATATTTGCTTCCCAACAAAAGCCAATATCGGTGAACACAAACACGTACACGGTGAACTTATTCCAGTGGAAGCCAACTGTCTCGTTTTCCAATAAAAAGGAGACGTATTGCGACGTACGGTCATTGAGTTTTCTGCTCAGACGCGCCCGACACACGCTGTCGCCAGACGACAATTGAATAACCTACAAATACATTGGCGCTTTTATTGCTTGATATAGAGGAAAATTGGCGGTTGTAGTTAATTAATTACCATTTGGTGTCCGCTAATCATCAATGTGGGTAGCGCCTACATGATGCCGAATATATTTATACCTATGTAAGCATTGGGAAGCTCTGGAGGTAAAAAAACTAAACAATAACGTCATTAGTACGTTTGTATCGTATAACGCATCCTAATGCTACTTTTGTAGCAGGTAAGGTTGAAAAAAAATAGGGTAAAGTTATTAAATTCCGACCATCTTCTGCAATAAGTTACATGTCTATAATATAGGCTTGGCCTATTTTAGACACTAGTGGTAACTTCTCTTTAATATAGCACACTGCATATGTAATAACAAGAAAGAGTACTCATATAATCATTACTGTTGTATGTTACAGAATAAACAACTTAGAAATATCTTAATTTGAAACGTTAAATATATATACACTTACTACTTAAACATATACTTATATTACTATATAATAGAAAATTAAGCTTCAAGAAATTAACAGGAATGACGATTCTTGAAGTAAAATTATTATTTTGAGTGGAAAATACCCACCCAATTTATAGAAGATAAACAGAGATTTTTTTTTAACTATAGCCAGACCAGAGTCCAATTCGGGATCTCTTATATGTAAGGGAATATATGGTTAACATTAAAGAATAATATAGAGACAATGAACCAGTCGGGACAATGAGACTAGGAAGTTTTAAACACTTCGTTACTCGTAAGGTTATTGCTAAAAACTGCAGGCGTAGCAAGGAAGTAAACATCATAACTTGTTTCCATAAAGTTATTTTTACCTTTTCCTTGGTGAAGACGCCATTTAAAATATTTACTTTCATTATTTACTATTTAATTTGAGACTAATACTATATCGAGACTATAGTTATATGCATTATATATATGACTATATGACTACGACTATTGTAAAATAAAATTATTTTCATTATATTAAAGACCCATTTTTTTCATTTTTAGTAAAGCAGAATATTGTCATTTCTATTTCTTTTTTAGCGTGAAGAGAAATACTACATGAATATGTATTAGGCGTTAGGTGCTCGTACTGGAGGGATATCCGATAATTTAACAGAAGATCAATAACGCAATCGTGTGGATTAATGCTATGAAACATTACGAAAGTTGAATAGACGTGTATCAAATGCTATACCTATATAAGTATATATTGTGCTTAAGAATTCTCATTACGAAATTCATCATATTATTATGTGGGTCAAAATAATTCGGGAGAACTATAAGTGTACTTATACTGTTAACTGTTTACTTGTGTCAATATAAGTCTTAGTCAATTAAAAATACGTGCATTTTATTTTATGATGACCCGTAATAATACCTACATGATGCAATTACACTACATCTAATATTTATTAAATATCTTCTAACTAAAATAGTCCTAGTAGTAAAATTTTGTTAAATGTGCGTGTAGATATGTTTTACATAAAATGTAATTAGAAATCTGTATTAAATCAATCTAAAACATGTAGGTAAAGTTTTTGGAAAGATTCCAATTCCACTTGTACAGCAAAACGCAATGATGGCGATATAAACACAGGCAATAAGTAAAAAGCCTATGGATCGCTCGTATAATCGAATATATCAGTCCGTTAATGCCCTTTTTACTACTAAGGATGGCATCGACGCTGGCTACAAAGCAATAATGACGAGAAAGAATTTTCATTTGAGTACGGTTTCTTGTCCCCAACGAAACTCGTAGCAAGAAAGGCACCCATCAAGACATTCCACAACTTTCTAGCTGGCCCCATGAAAAGATGCTGCCATTCTTTTTATGCGGTCTAAAATGTGGGCAGAGCAGAATTTCAGGAAGAATAAAAATGGCTCATTGTTGTTTAGGAAAGTATCTACATACCATTGTTTGTACAAATCGAGATATTCAATGTAGAGATTTTGTAAATGGACCCTTACAGGGAACGCATACTTATCAGTATCTAGCCAATGTAAAATATAAAATTAGGTCTCTCTGTTAAGTCTCTACTGTAGAATTCAAAATTTATAGGTATTAAGGTATATTATACTATAGTAGGTATATAATAATAATAATATAACAATTTACATAACGCTATCTAGTTCTAAGCTATAAAGAGGTTGCATGTAGGGAATACTTTAATACATTCTTTTTGTATTGAAGTATGAAGAATATATACATATTTTACATAGAAAATGCCTCAGAAAACACTAGCATGATCACTGCTACGCACTCCAAGATTACATAATCTAATCGAAACGGCCGCTCATGTGATCGCTCGTACCTTCGCAAAAGAAGCAAGCTCGTCAAAGAGGACTGCCTAGCATCTATTGTGTATAAGTGCTTAATTAACAGCGGGCCGTTATTGTGTTCGTGTCTTTAGAATCTCCTAGTATTATTTACCATTTTGTATTATATTTATCCAGAATAATTATATTCTTCTAAACACGAAAGTATAATAGGTGACATAAATAAAATAGGTGTGGCTATATATTATGGTTCTTAGTTTAATTTAATACTATTGACAACTTACCATTGACTTTGAGGAATATGAGCTTACTCAAGCCAGCTCCGATGTCGTTTCTTGCTTCGCACAAATAATGTCCTTCGGAGTCCTTCGCTACACGCTCAAATACGAGAGAACCATTTTCTAACACTCTGGAACTGCCTTCAAACATGAAGTCTTTATATTCACCGGGAGTGTTACCTGCATTTTAAAAGTTGATAAAATTTTAATATATTATATTCAGCCGGGAGTTGGTATTTTCATCAGAGATATACTGAAAATATTTAAACAGTTATCCAGTGTCGCATCTTGGAGACACTTTCTCTATATAGTGTTATGCAAAAATAAACTATTTTAGTACAAAAGTACATTAAGGCACTAAGTATAGTAGAAACATAAAGAATAATAACTATATTACTAAGGAAATGGCAGACCAAATGGTTTCATGGCTAATTGAAATGTTGAGAGTCCACCTGATGCCCGTAATATCGCTCATGTTTTGTCATTTTAAAGTACTAAGATGTCCTACCTCTATAGGTTCTAGTCTACAACTGCCACTTATAAAGCAAACTATTTGGTGGCTCGAAAAAAAGTTTTACAAAGTTTTTATTGATAAAAACGTCAGGAAGGACGCCTTCCTCTACAGAAAATCATTGTCACCTACCGGGTCCAATTTTTATTTCAACCTATCTAGGAATCTATTGAAATATGCATATAAAATATCATTCACATCGGTCTGGCTATTTAGGAGGAGACGAATGTAACCAACACATCTACAAATACATGTATTAAGATTTTTATAAAGTCTTATACACACCAACAGCCTTTTTCCACGTAATTGTCGGTTTGGGATAACCGTCAGCTTGACACTGCAGTGTGACATCTTGTCCGGCCGCCACTGCTACGTCATTGGGTTCGAGACGCCATCGTGGTGGCACTACAATGAATAAATTCAAGACTATAATTTTTATTGCATCACGAGTAACAGAGATACCGAAATAAGGATGATCATTAAAGTAAATACGTTAGTTAAGCATTATTCCTAAAATATTTAAAAAATACTACAAGTTATAATAAGTACCTATTTATAATTATAATAAAGACTGCGCATGTGTACGTCACAAATAAAAAAATATATATTATCTCAATATAGCAGTAGGGATAGTGATAAAAAATATGACGTGCACAAGAGGCTGAAAGTCCTGTGTGAATAAAGCATCTTGACTATGACTTTGAAATACATCATAAGTCAGTAAACTATCGTATAATATAATTTTAATTTATTTCTAGTAACATGTTATTGATAATAAATAGAATAGTTAGATAGAATATGCCAACCCAATAGAAATCCTGAAAATATGGAGTTTCTGTAATAATACATGTTCTTTGTATAATTATCAATGAATATGACAGAGCCAAGTAAAAAAATGCGTCGCTCCTATCGAGAAACGAATTGAAATGTCATTTTATTGATAAATATTAAGAACAGGCAAATAAATTACATAGCGTGTTTTATGTTTGTCATTTCGGTTATCCAGTTAGAAAAAATTGCATAAAAATTGGTATAAATTAATGACAGTATCAAGTGTCACTTTACTCACCATTTACAGTCAGAGGTACAGTAAACCGTTCGGATCCAGCTACGTTTGACGCAATACAAGTATAGTTTCCACTGTGTAGTGAAGTGATATGTTCTATTACTAAAGATGCACTGTATTCGTCCATCCGTCTCGTAATTATGCCGCTGGGTGCGTATGGAGATGAAGTTACTGGCTGTCCGTTTTTCTCCCATCGAAACGCTATTGGTAAGTCTCCCTCTAATATCTGACAAGAAATCGCTGCCCTCATTCCTTCTCTTAACAAATTCGTGAGCGGTTGAATTGGCAAGATTTTCGGTTGAACTGGAAAGAAAAAAAATGGTTGGAATGCAGAATGAAGGGACGGCTACTTTCCAGATAACGATCCTACAACTTTCAGCGTTTGCTGAATATAGCGAGCTTTCGCTGTAGCATTACTGTTAATTAATGTGAAATCTTTAATTTTTGTTTATAGCTTGATTCCAAGTACATTTTTAGAGTTCTTTTATGTTGGTTCTCTTTTTAATTTTTTTTTGTTATTTCATTTTATTGCCCTATTAAGTGGGGAAAGCTAGAATTTTAACGCTCTGTAGATGCCGCGAGAACGGTAAACGCGCTAACTTTAATGAATTACGGATGAGTAACTCCGCCCCTCTTGAATTCGTGATTTTATAGCGCTTTAAATCTTACTACAGAAAATGAGAAAGTTTATATCCAAATTGTCTGAATGTTATCAGTTGAGTAAATTTATCTACATTATGATTTAAACTTACGGGTTAACCTACGTTTAATGACTAATATATATAATTGTTCAATAAGTATATTTTTAAATATTTATAAATATATAGGTATACGCAACATTAAAATTTGTTTGTTTTTTAATTATTACTTAAATAACTAAAGTTTTATACATCGCAACGATTCACTGACTCGGCATAATTCAATTAACTACTATAGAATGGGCTGTTGATTGTATGTTATACATAATAGTTAATAGTTTGATGATCTACCCGCTTCATTATATTTAACAATAATATTATTAGTAAACACGATAGTATTAAATAAATTCTCTTCTTTGTTTAAAATATTGTTAATTAACTTCGCTGGTAATTAATAAAACAATGTATACTTTATAAATATTTCAATGGGTTACAGTTTGCTTTTAATGATGCTCTCTGTGGTCTAACGGTTTAGCACACAACCTTACTCCGATGGTTGCGGTTTCGATTCGTTCTATTTGGTACTAATATTTATATTCCTGAGTATGATGGTTTGTATCAGTCTGGGTTTTTTCTATGTATATTATGTACGTATTTACAAAAAATATATCCACATATATATTTTTATTATTATTAGTTGTCTCGTGCTTTTGGCTCTGATTAAATTGGGACTAGATGGCGCTGTGTGAATTGTTGTGAGATACTTGTATACTAATGTTGGCAATATATACAGACTTCCTAATGTATTTATCTAAAATGTACAAATACATAATATTATAGATTTTTAAGACATTGTGGACTAACATTGTATTGAAATGCTATAAAAAATATAACTAACCTAATATTTGAACTTCTACGTCTCGTCGGGCAGCATGTCTTTGCCGATTCGCTGCTTGGCAGGTGTAAGTTCCGGCATCCTCGCCTCGCTGTGTTTGCTCCACTATCAGTGTCCCGTTGGGAAACACTTTCTGTCGCCGGTTGAGAGGTAAAGTCTGCCCGTCTGTGATCAAAATGTTAAAATCGCAATGTGACTATAAATAATTGTCAGTATTATGACAATTATTAATAGTTACATTCAAATAAAAAGTCTTTCGTAACTATTTACGAGCGACTTTTTATTTTAATATTAAATGTAAAACAGCATCGATGATTGAATAGCAAAATGGATCGAATGTAAGTTTATCACAATCAATGGATTGGAAAAAATGTAAAACTGGAATAAATACTCAAGCGTTAAAGTCGATTGAAAATTATAATTATAAAACAATAGTTGATTAAACTAAAAATATGTATTGCAGCCTTAGACAGGACGACATAGGATTATTATAAAATATATATTTTATTAATAAGACAAAACGCATTTAATTTAAGTGACGACACTTCTAATGAACCCGACGTCCAGTAAACCAATCAATATATTTAATAAACTCGTACAGTTATCTTATAAATATATATATACATATATATGGTTAAATAAAGAATGATTATTATAGAAAATCATATACAGATATAGATAACTATATACTTTAACAAGTATGAAAAAGAATTGTGTTTCTTAAATTACTTGTCTTATTGATATGTAAATTATTATTGATAGTAATCCACCTATACATTGTCTTTACCCTATAAACTTTTCTCAATATATTTTATGTGGGATATTCGAATCGAAATTCAGTGGTCCGATTTGAAACCCAATGGGAGTCAATTATGCTCTACAGAACTCAAGTTAGAGGGAAAAATATAGATGCGGAGCATATAATAGATAGCGGAACTGCTTCCGTCGTCAATTTAAATCCCAACAGATAACTTATATAATTATTAAGAGACCAGTTTTAGCGGTCGTCCATTTTGAAAGTATATATTTTAAGTTGATTAACAACCAATTAATCAACTAAATATATTGTTAAGTTATATAGTATTCTTTGTTAATTTGCATAAGGATAGTTTTCTTTCAAATACTATTCTAGTAACTTCTTCTAAGATTTATAACTGTTAACTGGATATACCTACTAAAGGTATATCCAGTTAATAAATTCCATTGTGAAATGCTTTATTTCAAGCAAACCTCGAAGGAAAGTAAAACAATTTAATCTTGCCATGTTTAAAATGAAAACATGAATATTTTCATTCAAAACACGTGTAGAAACGGTGTCCCAGCACAAATAAAGTAACCTTTGGGAAAACCGGAATATTTCATAAAAATACTCAGTAAATATAAAGCCAGCTGTTGATTCTTTTGATTTGGAAGGATAGCCGACCTTTTATTTCTCAATGCAGGTATGAAAATGTTCAGGTCAGCTTAATGAGAGTGCTCTATGAAAAAGATAAGGTTTCTGTGTTGACAAGGGTCGGTAGGTATAAGGAAAATTGTGGAGGAGTGGCCGCCCTTGATTCGATCTAAGATCTTACGTTTTAATTCTGTTATGCATGATGTACCTTTTGAGATATGATTCACGGTTCTCCTAATGGGATTGAAAATTCTTTTGTTCCATTTTCACGTCTGGTATCATTCTGTATGTAGGTAAATTAATTACAGTAGTTTCTTTTCAACAAAACTTTTGGGGTTTTATTACAAAATGTTAACTAATTATATTCTGAAGTTTGGAATATATGTAATATTCCAAACTTCAGAATATAATTAGTATTTTTTGTAAAATAGGCAAATAAGTTACAGTACATTATATTTATTATGCTACTACTTATTATTCAATTCGTTATACTAATTATGTTTTACAACTTTGTTTGTGGATATTCTTAGTTTAGCCGCATCACGAAGGAAAAACAAGACCAGAATAACTTAGATTTGTCCTTAATTGGATCGTGGGAAGGTGTCTAGTTTATTAGATTGGGGGACGCAATTTGTTTCGCCACTATATTACGGACTGGGAATGTAACAGAATGGTTTTCTAGTGAGCCATTTAAAAACCAACGGCAATAAAAAGAAAACACTCGCAGTTTGTTTCCTTAGCGTAAAACTACTTATACAAAATAGTATAATACAAATACTAGATATATTCTTTGCGTTGTATAAACAAAGTTAAAAACTTATGATAATCATTACGATTAAATTATTGACAATAAAATTATATAACATCAGTATAAAGTGACGTATATATAAAGTTTAAAGTTAATGTAACATTTTAAGAAGGCAACTTTTAAAAAGAATTTTATAATGTCCATATGAATAAGAATAAATTTCATATTACTCTGGAATATAGAAATAATGGGAATGTTCGCAATCAAAATAGCGTACTTATTAAATAATAAATTTATGTTCAGCTTTTTGTATCATTTCGATGTATTTTAGTATACTACTTCAAGTGTGTTGTTGACAGCCGCTGGATGAAAGTGGGCCAGGACTAGCATCCGAACTTTCCGTGCAAAACTGGAGCCTTGGTTTATTTTTTTGTTTCTTTCGTTTCTGCAGCAAATTGGTCGAGGTATTCACTAACGTATTCGTTCATTCACCAGTAGCAATTAGTTCAATTCTGTGATATACCTATTTTTTTAATTTATGATGGTTTCAAAATCAGTCTAGTTGTTTTTATATATTTAAGATTGATATATATATATTAAAATCATATAAACGCAAGGTTTAGTCTACTACACACAACACAAAGTTGGAAGAAAATGTGCTTTCTTGTAATGTACAGAAAATTCTTCACATAATTAATTAAATCGTTTGCCTGAAGTTACAAGGGACCTTTGAAGAGTTTGCTTTTTGTTTAAATCTTTTATGTATAGGTGTATTTAGTACTGAAGCAGTACTAATATTATTAAAAGTGAAATTTTTACCTATTATCAAGAATACATTAAGGTATATATTTTTTCTAATGGCAATGATTATAAAATCAAGACTTAATTTGGCCTGAGATACCTTATTTTTACGCACGATTAGATACAATTTCGTGCAGAAATGGAAACTGACTGAACTAACTTTGTTCATTATATTACGATGTTGAAGAATATTAGAATGGGTAGATAATTGTTTTCGATCCCCTGTCGAAAGGATGTGGTTTACAATTTCTTGATATATTTTGTACTCATATTTACGTCCAAATTGGCAATGGATATTGTCGAATTTATGTATAAAATTGTATTTGTTATATTTGAGTGTGAGTTTGACATAAAAATAAAGTAGATAGGTCTTATATTTTTAATGTATGATAATGGAATGGGGCAGCTATGCGCTATGATGATGATAAGTTGCGTCTGCTCTAATACAAAACGCATCCTATAGTAAATACGGCAATAGTACTACTACTACTACTTTTCTTAGTAGTATATTTATTTTATAACCTTATTTTGTGTGGAATAAAATTGTACTTGTAAATCGGTTTTCAAAGCTACGACATGAGATTTCTTTCACGTTATTCTAGTTTCCTTATCGACCTGTTGCTATTTAAGATAGAGTAACTTGCAGACCTCCCGAGTGGCTGGCTAAATTCGATACTATTTGAGTAAGTATCGTTCCATTTCGATGTCTTATTTACGATATCTAAAAACATTAATCAGTATCTGTGTAGAGGTTTATATACAAAAAGTTAAATAAGTTTTATTACTTATTTAAAAGTATTTCATTGGTTATAGTAGAGAATCATGCAGGCAAACAAATATATTATACATTCACGATCAGTTTGAAGAACAAATTCAAATTCAAAAATCATTTAATTATTTTATTAAATGATTTTTTAGCCGCTTATGAAAATAAATAAATATCGCGTAAATTTTTTGATATCATAATTTTTTCCCTACCGTCCAGTATGAGTCCTACCGAACAGTATATACATGATATACATATGTTACTGAAATATTGCTTATGAAGACATCATATGATAAAAGGCTTATGTGCTCTAAGGATGTTTTAGGACTATATGTTACACGTACGCTATCCACGAATATATTAAGTATGTTATATATATTCCAATTAAATTTTTCAATTCTGAATCGATTGGGAAACAGTTTTTTTTATGTACAAGTCACATATTACACATAATGTTGTCATAATTAGTTTTTATATAATAGTATTTTTGTTTATTAAATATCAAATTGGTAAAATAATGCTCGAAAATAATTACATTTTCCATTTGCAATATTTCTTACAGGATAAAATAAAATGCCTACGCCACCCAAGAGATTCGCGTTGCTAACATAAAATGTAGCCTAAATATTTCGCTATTCCAAATTTCATCACATTTCTCTATATCAAATTCATGACGATTTACTGAAGCATGCTGTGATGATGTAAGAAAAGATACATACAAAAATATTATCTAAGTAAGAATTGAAACTTTTAATTCGCCGTCGTTTTCTCTCTACAAGTACTTTCATTAGTACCACGTCTTTGAGCTTAATGCTATCTTAACTTTAAGTACGTAAGGTACCTTATTGTTTTGCCACAAACCTTTGACTATCCTGATTATTTTTATCAGAATAAAATAGGATTAATAGCGATAATATAGATATATCTTAAATAGATGTTGCAAATGCACATGCATTTGCATTGCCTCCCTGTAAGGAGAGAGGGGATTGTGAATAATAGAGAGGTGTGGTCCATTCCTAGCAATCTATACCATTATTAGACAGAAAAATAAGAACCTAACTCATAAGCCACAAATTAGAGACTTAGATTATTTGTAGAGCCTTCAATTAGACTTGGAATATGTGGGTTAGTCAGTTTACTTCTATTATCAGTACTTAATTGATACATAAATCGAGGTTCTTGCATTTTGTATTTCTATGTGTGTCACCTGCTTCTGTATTATAACTATTTGTGAAAATGAAAAATTAGGTCAGTTTATAATTTTATTTAAAAGTAGTAAAACTCAAAATAAAATTTTAAGATTAAAAAGCAATCAAGTTGTTTCATTAACGGAAAATTGATAAATAAGAAAGAGAATTTAGAAGATTTCTTATATAAAAATATAAATGGGAAATAATATAGAAAATAACTTGTGAAGGTGGAAACATAATTTCCGCGAAGAAGCGCCACGGTGGCAATTCAATTTCAGAACGTAATGTAGGGACGAAAATTATGGCAATTTTTTATCATTAACATGGCGAGACGCGAAGGAAACTTCGAAGGAACAAGACTTTTTCTTTTTTGTGAAAAAAGTTTTCTTCCTCGGTTTTCCGAACTCGGGTCTCGTATGCTAGGGACATGAATAGACAGATTAAAAAATAATAGTTCGCTTCATTTTGTACTGCGATAAAAAAGTCCAAATAAGTCCGTTAAAGCTTCAGTAATATCATAAAATCTTTGTAGTATAAGTTAATTTGTTGAAAGAAGTTTACATTTATATTGCTACATGTAAGGTTTTAAGCGTTTCTTTTAGTTATATAATATAATTTTATTTTATTAATATTTTTGATTAGTTAATAAGCAATTTAAGAAAATAATATACATATGTATGTATATATAAATATTTTTTTTAATGGTAATTGAACAGATGGAATAATATATAATTTTCAGTATAATTAATACTGCTCAGAAATTTATTTTTAGTTTTTTCTTAAAAGGTTTACATAAAAGTGTCGTGTATTGTAAGGGTCAGTTAGTGTTAAAGTGGTGTAGCAAAGTAGCATCTAGGTGCATATTTGGTAGTTGTTGGTGTAAGTAATTGGGATCGGTGCCAGAATGACCAGTAAATATTGGTTCGTAAACTTGGCAAGGAATTGACGCGAAGAGACTAATATGCGAAAAGAATTAGGTAATATGGCGTGATCAATCTTTATGTTCTTAGTTTCTGCATGCTATATTTTTCCCATTCCCAATAGCGTAACTTGCTTAAGTAATTATTATATGTTTGGCAAAGAATTTTATGAAGTGCGTCATACTGCAGCTTTATTTTTATTTGTCACGTAATGTTCTTATTATAATAATAAAAGTAGATAAGTAATAAATCAAAAGATAAAGTTATTCAATGATATAAACAAGAAATTGTCAAGCCGAGAGGCATAGAAAAACATGTAGTGTAAAATTATATTCCTGAATTATGCATATCGACAAATTTACAAATTTAATTAACTTAATACATTAAAATATATAAAAAAACAAATCTTACCTCTTTCCCATGAAATCGACTCAATAGGATATCCAGCAACGGGACATTTTATATTTAAGTCACTGCCGGCCACTGCAGTCACTTTAGGCATCTCTCTTATGTAAGGTAGTCCATAAACGTTCACTCTGGCAGCATGCAAAGATTTTCCGGCCGTGTTACTGGCAACACAAGCATATTCGCCACCATCTTGTTCAGTCACACGACTTATATTAAGATGACTGACGACATCGTCTTGTAGAGTAACGTGTTGTCCCACGACGAACCTGTCAGGAAATATAAAATATATATTTTTCGACATAGGTACTTAGAATATATATATGAACTTAAATAGATATCGAATCTACTTTGAGTGACTCTTATGCTTTAAGTAAACACTAAAGAACCTAATTGCACTTCAGGGCAATTTAATTCAAAGTGCTTAAATTAAAATTACGTATATAAATGAATGACGAAAAATAATTAGATGACATTTTCGAAAATATTTTGTTTCCGTACATTTATTAACATTATTCCAGCACTATATTGCGCTGCGTAAATAGAAAAATATAAATAGATGTACTTGGCGATATATCTTTCAATAAATTGTACTTACATTAGTTAATGTACAATGTGGTACTTAATGGTGAAAGTCTCTATCTAGCTCAAATTGATTTCCTTACATATTTAAATTACATCTAGTACCTGGAATTTGTGGGGATAGGAAAGCCGTCCAGCAACCATGTGAACTGTGGTGGTGGATGTCCCATTGCTACACACTTCAAAGATACACTGGGTCCTGGTTGTAGAGTTTGCTCTGAGAACCAGTACACTAGTTCAGGTTTCGTTTCTGAAAAAGAAAATTCTTTTATCTCCTTTTTCAGTATTAAATAATATCTAACATAAAATGTTTTATAATATTATCGCAAAAGATATATTAAGCCGAAGGGCAACTAGCATACCTACTGAAACTGATTCACATTTCCTAACAATTGTATTGTTAGGAAATGTGAATACTACTAAAAACTACTAATTGTATTGATCCTGAAGAAATTAATAAGCCGACTATTTCTACGCTCCACGGGCCATAACCCTATTTTTTCATTTGTTAAAGGGAGAGGAGAACTCTCTGAGCTTTAGAGAACGGGGTCCATTTTAATTTGCGTATCGGCTAAGCTGCATAAGCAGTTAAGGTGGATGGAGACAGGCCGTCGGGCGTAGGTCGCAAATCCGGGGAACGGCCGTACGAGCACGACTTCGCTTCAAGCCTCGACCATTATTTTTCCACGTCAAATAAATGATCTAATATATTTTAGGATTTTGTAGTTAGATCGGTGTAATTAAGTATGTGTAAACGGTGTATGAGTAATTTATGTACCGTACATGATTATATGATTACTTTAAGCACATATAAGATAATAGGTACTTTAAGTAATGAAATAAATTATATTTTTCACAAATTGCAATTTTATTATAATCCTCTGATTAGAGGGTACTGTTACTATTCAAGGAAAAAAATTAACTTTATCGAAGTTACAAGCAAATCAATATGAACTTCAAGTAGTAATAATAGTATAATAATAGTAATTATTGTTGTAGGCTCCATTCCGTTCTATTCCTTGCAATAAGCTTCTCCCCATTCTTTCTCACAAAATATTGGTTAGACACTGCTTATTTCTTAAATATGTAATTACCTACTCTGTACTACATGTATCTTTTCACTAATCAATGTAGTCTACTATGTAACTGATCCGCGCAACTACCTATGGTACATAAGAGAGATGAAGCTCTCAAACGGAATAAATTACATTTTTCATTGACGCTCCGTTCCTGTTGCTAGTAGCGTGAGGTTATATAACATTATAGACTTCCGCAATAAATAAACATAATAAACAACCCTCGACAATTAACACAACGCCATCTAGTCCCAAGGTAAGCAGAGCTTGTGTTGTGGGTACTGCAACTGATATAAATATTTAGATCTATTTTTTTATAAATATATAATATACATAGAAAACACCCAGATCGATACAAACAATCATACTCTTTATGAGTATGATTGTTTGTACAAATGTACAAATGTTTGCACTGTGCGAGGAATCGAACCCGCGACCATCGGAAGTAAAGCGGTGTATTAAACCGCTAGACCATCGAGGCCGTCTAAATGAATGATCGAATTATTTTTCAATTGGAATCATTAGTTTCTGAGATTACCGTGTTTAATAAAACAAACAAACAAACTCTTCAGATTTGTATCATTAGTATACCCATATCTAATATATATAACACAACTAATTAATTATGCGAAAATATATCTCATTACTATGTAAAGTAAAAAGGTCACAATTTCAGATGGACAATTAAGCGACTTAAATAGGTGTGCCAGGAATGTGTCCCCCAACTAATATTACCCAAATAAAATGTAGGTTTACCAAATGAAAAGAAGATTTAGGGTGAGACGCGAAAATTACTCGCAAGCCTTTGTTTTAAAATTCAAGTGTCTAAACACGCGTGTCTAGCTAATTCCTTTGATTGCAGCTTTATAACTGAAGAGGCGCGAGGAAGTCATTTAATCCTTTCAGGCTTTATGAAAAAAGGTAACACTCACACGAAAAGGTGTCTCTGGATTATGAATAATCCTTAATTTATTATAGTTCTTGCTCACGTCCACATTTAGAATAATTAGGAAGACAAAAGCGGAATTACGCAAGTAAAATAAGGGTTAAGTAAAATTTATGTGTTTAGTTAATTATATATAAATATTTAAAAGGTTAAAATATAAATATAAATAAATAAATAATAGTAAGGTCTAGTATACAGTGTGGTACTGTGTATATCCGAGGACGTATTTGCAGATATAGCATATGAGATTTTCGCTTGTTATTTATTATGACTGAAATGCCACATTGTTATAGCCACACTAATGAAAAGCTGTAATCTTATATATAAACGACTACAATATCCTGTGTATCCAGACACACTGTAACCACTTTTATACTTTATTAAAACACATATTTAAATATGAAATTTCTATCTAAAAAGGACAATTATTTACAAAACTTGCTCTTAGTGGTTTGGCTCATACAATTATAACTTAAGAGAGATTTTTGGACAGAAAATATGTTTATTATTCACATATGTATGCTTTGACACAGATCCTATGTGGTTTTATTAATTTTTTTTCAAGTTCACCTAATAAATGACTCAATAAAGAGTGTACGATATTTATGTTTAGTTTCCCCATGGGGCGAATATATCCAGAGTCCCAACAAAATGTAATAATGCAGAAGAGGTCGTCCCTTCATTAGAGGACATTAGATTGCGACATTTATTCTCTAGTTATAGCCTACAATTCTTGTTCAGGTCGCTTGGTTTATAAAACAGTCTTTTATTATTAGTGTAAATTCCTGGAGTATTCATTAAACTATATCTAATAGTAGTTCGTTGCTAATAATTACATTATCTAAACTAAAATTATGATGATGAAGATGTGATTTTGTATTTTTAATGTAACAGATAACCAGTAATAATCAGTACACCGATTGTAAAGTTATTTTTCGTTAAAGTTGTTGTCAGAATTACTGAGTTAATTTTCTCAGAGAGAAACTAAAAGAACTTGAGGTCTTTCTAATAATTGCACCCATTTAAAGTATGGAATTGATGACTGATGTTCTGTTGATTAACGATATTGTAATATGGATTGTAAGAATATATATTTTTTATTATTTAATTTTTAGTCATATCCAGCTCCGATAGAATACGCTACACTGGAAATTAAGAAATTAAACATTGTATCGAAATTACTGAAATTAGAAAACTGAAATTCGTTAGTTGTTAAATACTAAAATATTAATGGGATTTCAAAAGGTGTAGTATTGTTTCAGAATATATTTATACATTGCTAGATATAGTTTTTCCCAATGGACTTTATCTTTTGTTACTTGCTCTAATAATAATATTACTTACTGGACCGGTGGGTTGCGGGAGGTGAAGTTTTCGAAAGAATATGATTTAAAAGTATTTCTATAAATAATTTAATAGATCACTACTTCTCAATATTGCGACATTTTTAGAAACACAAAAATAGAAATTACAATACGGAAATCAGAAGAATCATTTAAACGGTTTGTTATATTGTAAAGTATATTCATCTAAAGGCTATTTCAATAATATATATGTACTCTTAGTGTTGTGATGACACAATACACAGTATAGAAACAAACTGAACAGTCTATGTACGTAGTAATAGTTAGTGTACAGTTGGAAGTTTGCTCGTAGTTGGTCAGGCGAGCCGTCTGAACTTCTCAGCCGACGAGACATCGTGAATGTCTGCTAGGATAGCTAGCATGCCGTTATTGAGCATCACTGTGAGTTTTATAGTTAACAACACTATATGTAACGATTTTTAAATATTGTGCATTTCATATATTTTTAAGTTAATAAAAATGATTAAATACCTAAAGCTTTACGTTCATATATAAAGTTGATAAATTGCTTAAATATGAAAGTTGCCAGCTACTATTTTTATTAAGTAATATTTTTAATGAATATTCAATACTAAAAAATAACATTCTATTAATATTATTTGGCATATATAACATCTCGGGTCTCTTCTTCATGCAAGGGGGATCTTAACTTACTATAGATGGTAGGTGCCCAGGAGATTTGACAACGAATTTAATCGAGATCCACTGGTATATTGTTCTCTGTACTCTTTGGTTGTTTGTTGAGATAACTTGAGGATGTAAAGGAGTGATACTTTATTTTTATTCGTACTTCGTTACAATATGGCGTACTAATAAAGGAATGTTATTATAAACAAAAAGTGTTAATTTTATAATTATTGTATGAACGTTATAATAATATAATTCCGATAAATACTTTATTTAAACAATCACCAGCAACATTAAAATTTTTCTTATTCTGAGAAACGAAATGAGATGATTTTCACCCTTAGTTCACCTACTCGTAATACAAAATTCTTGTGGAAAAACGGATAGAATTTCATTATACTAATAATATTACTTATACCGCTTTAAATTTTACATTTTGAGGACGAACCTTCAATAAGAGGGTTCTTGAAGGAATTTATCTATTGCGGCAAATGGCAGTTGGAAGTAATTTTGGCAAATTGGGGACTGCTTCAATTCGTTTGGAAGGTTCTATGTTAGTGAATAGCATTTTCATAATATCACTGACAAATTTCTAGGATTGGTTATATATCTAAAGCAACTGCTAAAAAGTACTGGTACATAATAAATTTTTTATTGTCAATCTTATATTTTTGAAATTACAACAACCACAATAAAAATCAAAACATCTTATTATTTTGTGTAACAATTTGCACTTGTTAGTTTGGAATCATTTACAATTTTTACGTTGTTCCATAGTGACTATCTGGGATAATCTCATAAAACATATGCCATTAATTTATTTACATCACTATTTAATAATACTGGTCCGCAATTAATTATTTTCAGTAAAATATATATATATATATATTAACAGATTACCTTAATTATTTTAGCTTACTGATTCTATTCAATACGTTTATCTATTTGAATGGATAGGACATTTTTTTAAATTTAATTAACAAGTTTTAGTAGCCTTGTTAGTCTACAAAAAATGTTACACAATATATAAAAAGGCACAAGGGTTTGTTTACTTTCAGACACGAATTCATAGTAGTGGTAAGGAGTCATTCCTCCCTGTCTGGTCGAGTTTACTCTCTGGCGGGGAACAAATGAGGCTTGTTAACAGAAGGTCAGCCACTTGTATAATTTATTGAGTCAGCCAGTCTCCGACACTCGCAGCACAAGCCCATTTTGATATTTCTGTATTTTTTCCTTGCATAGAGTTAATGGGCCGCTTAATCTTAATAACAAATATTTATTTTTAAATGACTCCATAAAGAATAATGTACTCAATTCTGCGGTATATTTTCAAAATTACCCGAGCAATACCTTCCTAATTCGGCACTGATATTTAAAAACGGTTTAATGATTTTGTAAGAGTAAGTTGTTTTTTCCGTTATCCGCACCTACATAACCTTTTGGAAATGTTGGCTATTACGCCTTTATTGAAGTTTTAGGTCTTTCGTACGTTTGAGATACCTACAACATGTTTGGTGGCTTTCCAAAGTATTCTATATTAATAATGAATACAGAAAAATGGATATGCACTTAGACGTTTAATACAGCAGAGAGAAGTGACAGAAAAGTATAAAAACAGTAGTAAAAGGAACACTTTTGTTTCTAATATGTGTAAATAAACATATAACTGTCAGTGAATCTCATTATAGGTTTAACATGTTGAATCATATTTTTTTTTTATCCATTTCGAAAATCTTATTATGTATCATTCAGCTTACATCATCCTCTATCGATGTTAAACACAACATATTAATAAATGAAAACGATTTTGCTAACAGTAAATAATATTCAAGTAATCCGAAAAGGCGACGAGAATTTCTCTGGAAATATATTTTGATATTTTCGGCATAGAAATTAAAGGTTGACGCGACGATACGTTTCCCGTCTCTACTTACTGAACGCCTGAAGAGCAGCGACACCAAATAGCGGGGAACGAATTAATAATAAAACAAACCGGCTTATATTACTTATAGGCAACGTGTAAAATCAACCTTATATGTAGTGCGATAGGATCTTAATTGGGAAAATCATGGCATAGTATTTATCACGCAAGGTGGATGCGCCAGTAGCGACGTGCCTACGTCACTGAAGCTCTTTGTTTGAGCTGAAGAGCTGACTCTAATAGCTTGCAGCGGATCTGCGCTTAAAAATGGACTTTTAAATATTTTATGAAGGAGTCAAGTGGGGTAAAAATGTAACGTATAGATTCATGTGCATTATTTCGGTGTGGCTATATTTATACGGTATACTTACCTAACAGATTTAATTAAAAATAGAACATGCCTACATATTAAATACTTCAGTATAATTGTAGATACATTTTGTAGATATTGTGTGATACTGAAAAGTGTAACTGTAAACAATTTTAATCTTTAAAAGTTGTGTCGTTAGATTTTATACACACTACATACTACCTATTTAAATAGAAAACTTTTCAGTTCCCTATTTGATTGTTATACAATGAATACTTTATGTATTCCGATAGAGTACATAACTTAAGAAATTTAGATACAACAAAGAAATAAGAAGTAAAATTATTATCTTATAAAAATTATTATGTTTATACCTATATATGTTATGTACTTTTATTATGATGAATTATCCCTAAATATATTTACCCTTCAGTATGAATTTTCTAACTAATTGGACATCTCACATAAAGAATATCATGCCTAAAATTCAGTACCCAAATTCGAGTTAACTAAATTCGTTTCGCAATTTGACCCAATCAAGAATCAAACTCATTTACGCGACGTAATGTTCTTTACTGCTCTATTACGGAAGCCGTAATCGTCGTTGCTTTATTATCACTCAAAAGAGGCTTTTTGCTCAAAGGTTGGTTGGTTCTGAGAAACTTTTAATTTTCTTTTCTTATGCTCCGTGAGTCAAAAATGATTAGGTTACTGTACCTATAATTAGTATACAGATACTAATTATAGGTATAAGTATATGTAAGTATATTTTTATTTATTATTATTAAAGACATATTATTCAGTCATTACGAAATAGAGTAGTTTTATTTTAATTTATTGTTCAATGGTGAGAAGTGTGCTGGACACGAAAAACCACATTACAAAATATACTTAGTGCTAAAGCTGATTTTTTTTCTCATAAATATCTTATAATCAAAATGTACCATCAGCCTTATCTCTTCAAACTTTGTTACCTTTTGTTTATGTACAAGTTGTAGAGTTGTGACACCAAGTGTAAGTGGAAAAGTTGTACTCCACATTCATTCAAGATAGTTTATCATATCAGTGAACAGTTCATCTGAAAACGAAGGAACTAAAGTGCTTATTGCTTTCTGAGTAGTTTTACGCGCTAGCAATTCATCAATAACCTCTGTCAAGTTACTTGTTGTTCCATTTAGGTAAACGTTAACGTCATTTGCATTTCTGTCTTTTTAGAGGCAATTATTGTAATTTATTAATTGTTTATCCATATATCCATTTGCAAATTATTTTTACAAACGAATTCTTTAATACGTAAATGATAATTAAAACTTTTAGTTAAAGAATGTATTTATTTTATCCTACAGATTTTTCAAATGGTAGACTAACTTTTATCTAAGTTTACATAACTGAATTTTATTGCGGACATTTCGACATAATTTAAATAATTATTTTTCTGTTTATCTCATATAAAAGTACTAACTATTAATCATAACAAAAAGAATTACAGAACCAACCTGCGGAGGAACTTTATCAACTATAAAAGCTCATTATTTTATTGTCGATGTAAATAAATGGTCTTTTTGAATTTGAACTATTTACCAAAATGTGGACGATCTTCTCATTTTGGTAGATAGTTCAAAATAATAATAAGTTCGAAACCACCTCATAATAAATTTTAAATATGGGTACAACGTAAACATTGTTACATGAATGTTGAATAAACAAAGTTTTATATTAAACCACTGAACTGTCACGAAGAAGAACAATTCTGAACTACTTTAACACATGACTGCAACTTTAGACATATAACATACCTCTAGTGCCAGTGAAATTCCAGTCTGTATCGTGTGTGTGGGAGCTTCGAGCATAGGGGGCGCGCCTTGAGCGGTTGCCCGCCGTCCGCGGCCGCCCTTCGGTCACTGCAAATACAAACCGCTTTAGAATTCTTACTCATGAACAAACCCACAAAAGAAATGCTACACCGAGAAAATACACTTTCAAAAATACTACACTGTAAATACTGCATTTAATGCAGTATTTACGGATCTGGAACATATTTTTGATAGCTTAGAAGATGTGGGTAACGTAACCTACGTTAACTACGTGCAATGCTCGTTACCTACAAGCTTTACTTTATATTATATTTTGTATATATTCACGATAATGTGAATTATTTATTTGCAAGCAAATACGGCAAATAGTATTTTTTATGATACATTGTTTCATAAAATGCATAATCGTGATGCGCCAGAATCCGCAATCAAAAATTTTGTAAATATAATATAAATGTGTAAATTGTATAAAATAGTAAAGAATGAAGTACTAGTCTTCACAAGAAGAACAAAATACTTACTATTTATTATATATTCTGCTATACCATACGCTTGATCTCTCGAATTACTCGCAAAACATTGATAGATTCCCTGGTCGTATATTTGTGAATTCTTGATATGCAATCTTAGGCCATCTTCTGATAATTTAATTCTGTCGTTTGACTTGAGAAGTCTCGCATCGTGTACCCAGTAGACAATCTCAATGGGGTGTCCGGAGACTTTACATTCAAAACTAACGTTTGAATTGCTTTTCGTTCGTACCACTTCGGGTTTTATGCGGACGGAGATAGGATCTAAAATAAGTCAACAGTTAGGAAATTGCATGCTGATGAAACTTGGCGCACAGAATAGCATAGTAACTATCTGAAACTTCATTCATATTTCTTTGACAGGTTTAGAATATTTAATAGACATTGCAGATAAATATTTAGGTAACATTGCTACAACATAATGTTACAATTAAATTGCTTTCATCGATATACAATAACAAAGTAACTAGTTTACAAAGTTCGCAAATCACTAAGATATCTATTACTTATTGATGTTGTTAAGTATGCTATATATACAGGTAAGTGTGCTATAAATCTTTTAAACAAATTTACCAGTCAAAAAAGTCGTCAAAACATAGGTACCAGTATTTTTTATATGTTCTAATTTCAATATAAGAAACGAAAATGGTATCGTGTGAATAAATTAAGCTAAACAAACAGCGGTTATCACTTTTCTTAGCAGTTGGTGGAAAGTGATGGAAATTCCGTAAGTCGCTCAATATGGCTTACGGACTGACTCAACGAGGTTGTTTTTACCCTTTTGGGTAGCAATTAAACAGTTGACATTCTAGATGAAATATGTTATGTTGTTGTTTATATATAGGCCACAAATATCACAGGAAAGTGATAACTGACAAACCAATATACTAAGTATACCTAAGATATTATTCTGCTTTGCTAAGTCAGAAATTTCACTGTCATTATCAGAGTAATCTGATTAGACTACTACTTCCAACCAAGCCAACGTCATTTCCCCAATGACCACTATAACAAGTCGCTATGTTTAATAAATAAAAAAAAAACAACATTATATATATTTTCACCTGTGACAATAAGACTGAAGTGTATGGATTCTCCGCCAACGGTATTGTTCAACCAGCAAACAAACCTGCCGGAGTCTTCACGCCGTACCCTCTGAATGCTGAGCAGACCGCCACCTAATAGTTTTGCTCGCTCCCACATGGTAGTCTTTTCTATTGGTATTAGTTGCTCTTGGTGATCACGAAACCACCTAGTCATAATAAGTACAATTACTAATAGTTAAGATAGGTAGGCCAACAGTTTGAACTACAAAATTATCTTAAAAGTAACTGTAGGACGTTTCAGAAGGTTTGATATAGTCTTTTGAGTATATAGCAGTGAGACAATGGAGTTTTGAACACATTTAACGGATTTACCTTCTTATGGCAATTTTTACAAAAGTAACAACAATATTTTAAACTTTAATTCATTAAATCTTAAGTTTTAGATTCTTTGTTGCAGTATAAAAAGCTAATAATAATTTATAGCTCTGTTATTGTACACATCTAATATTTATAATATATTTATTCCAAATTAGTATATAAAGTAGTAGCTACTCGTGAGTTCCTGAGTTTGATTGCCTAAACGGCGAAAGAATAATGGATGAAGTCGGACAAATGAGCCGGGATATGAAGTAAGAATTTTCTGGTAGACCATAGAGAGCGATTGGTGTTGTCCCATTGGAAATGAAATTTACTACTAATATATTCAGGATAATTAGGATCGTATAGAATTGAATATAGTGTGCATAGCATACGTATACTATGACGATAGCAGATCCATTAAAGCTGAGAACGAAAAGAAGAGATATGATCGAATTTACGCAAATTAAAGATGAATCGGATAGAATTATCGAGAAGACGATCCAATTTATTTAGAAGATCTATGTTAATGGTAGAACAGCACACAGCATATATATAAGATACATATACGTAGTGTAAGTGTGACTTTGCGACTTATCTCACCAACCAACCAACTTGGCTGGAATAACTATGTATACAGACTAAAAATTCGCAAACCAAAACTAAAGATTAAAGCATACATAGGGACGGAGAGCAGCGACAGCGACTTTATTTTATACTACGTAATAATGATATAATAATAATATCACAATAACAATAACTTACTTCGTAAGTACCTACGAAGAAAAATATTACGAAAGAAAAAGAAATAAAAAATAAAAAGAAAAAAAAATAAAAAGAAAAGCATATTACGAAAAAATATTATTAATATGAAATATAAAAATATACATTCTAAATAAATACAACTTCACATCATAAAAATTCATGTTTGATTTAGATTAGGGTTTCCAGACATCTCTAACAGATATAAGTTGGATATTTTTGGTTTCTGCAATAAAAGAAAGACGAGGCGAATTACGAAGGTCGTCTGAATTAGAATGAATCAATTATGCAACGGGTCAGCCCAAACTCCTACATTTGGTATTTCGAAGTCAATCAGTTTAATTGTATTCGTAATAACCTAGAAATTAAAATTTCTGCTAATAAAAATGTCCCCTCTAAAAAGTCTTTCGCAGGTACAATTTAATCATTCGAATTTTAATGGCGTCATTACCCATTACTAAGTATTTTAGAACGTCAACTGCTGACGAATTTTATAGTTTTGTCCCGAAGATTGAATCTACGAATCTGTAATATTTTGTATTCACCTACATACTTATACATTCTATACTATACAAAGACTGGATGGAGAAATTTTTGTTATTCTATAATAATATGGCCATCATTTTTCACGTATTATATTTATTATTGTATAAGATCGTATGGCAAATATTTTGACCTCCCACCTGATAGAATGTTGTAGCCATTGGCAATAGATATGAACGGCAAATGAAAACAAAATATATATTTTTTAGACTCAGTTAATAGAGCTTAGAAGAAACTCTGTTTGTACTCTTTTCTAATGAGATTGGACATGTCAAAAAATCTACACAGCTATTTGGTTGCAATAGTAGATTTATAAGCATCGTTTAAAAATAATAGCAAAATCGAATGCCAGTTGAAAGCCAGATTTATACATAAATTTAGGTGTTAAAACTTAAATACGGTCTGCGTCCAACACGATAAAATGTCTATACAAGCCAATATGTAAATTGATAAAATGAATGGGTGCTTTGGAAAATCACAATATTTTACGCCTATGGAAAATACTTTTTCCGTTTACATTACGAGTGAATTTCCGTGTAAATTAAACCTCATAATTTACACTTAAATTCACTCGTTCCTAAATCTAATTTATGTTTCAAGAGTTTTCTTTATAATTCAATTACCATAATTTCTATACATTTTTTTTGGCTTAATTTAAATATTTATATCAACAGTAGTTCGTTTTTATTCTAAGTTAAATTCATACCTAAATGAAATATTTGATGATTTTATTTATCACTATCACATACTTTGTTTTAAATTTTGTTGTATTGAGATTATTTCATAATATTGTATGTTAAGGGAATTATTGTTACCTGTAATTATTACTAGATACTTTAAATTACTATAAAAGAAAGATAAATACTTATAGAGCAAGTTACAATACAAATATACATTCTGAAATATTATATAAAATATGACTCGCGTAACTTATTCGAATGATGCGAATTTCATAATTTGTTAGCACTTTCAACACGTACTAGACGTGTTGAAAGTGCTAACAAATTATGAAATTCCATACAGTCCGCTATTTCATGACAACTTTCGTACATACTTATATAGTATTTAGACAGGTATATTTCCAACGTTGTAATACAATTTGGCGGGTTTTGCGAGTTAAATTTCTCCTTGACAGTTAAACCAAATCACGTAGCGGGCGGATTATAAAACCGCGTTGAGATCAAAACGGTCTCGCGACAAGATAAAATGCTCCATTTGAGGGTCACGTGCATTGCTAGATTAAATCTAAATTGAGAATTTTAGCACCCGTACTACCAAATTAAACTACGATGGATTCAATCCGGTATAACAGTTATCGTTTTATTAAAATTGATCGAGTCTAATTACAAACCTGGAGAAATTACCATAAGGCTTCCCCTTATGGTAATTTCTCCATCTTACATACTTACATTTTTCTTTATTCTTTTGGTATAGTACCGCATCGTATATATGTATATATATATATATATAAATGCGATGCGATGTAAGTATATTGAAGAAGAATGATTTAAAACAATCACAAAAGTTTTGTTTCATATGTAGATAAGTCTACCTTGCCGTAGGGCATAACAACCGAACCAACGAAATTATAAACAATAAGGAAAATATGTAATAATGTTGAAGATCTTCAATCTTTTCTCGCATCATTTGACATATGTAATTTTGTAACTTGCATACAACATGTACGTCTATTATTATTTTGGGTACATCCAAATGACGAAGAATTCTATGAATGTATTTGGAGAGCTACATAGATTGATATCATAGAATCTATGGTGAAACTTGTAGTTAGAACTGATTGATGAATCTATAATATTATAAATGCAAGCATATGTCTGTCTATTATCATTTCAATACTAAATTGCTGAAGAAATCTTAATATGTCACGCGGACGACCATAGACTATCTTTCATTCCAAAAAGAATCTAGAAGAGGGCTAAATAAGGAAGTAAAGGTAGTATACACAAAGATGCGGGAACGAACCAGAATAAGTACCACAACAACATGTATGAGTAATATTAAGATATTGCAGAAATTGAATATCGTTCAGCAAACATGAAAACCCATTTTAAATTAATCCGTCTGTACTGTTCGGTCGTTTGTCTAATCCAATACAACTCTGCTTGCTTTACAACTAGGTAAAAGACTTGCAAGCGCCGGTAGTGCTAGCTTTCAGTTTGCTCGCATCTGTTTGTTCAGAGAAAGGAAACCTTTTAGTTAAAGGATACTCTGTGTGGTGGTACAACGTGTACACATTATGGAAAATGTTTGTTCGCTCTGTTGTTTGTTCATTTGATACATTTTAAATAATAATTGAGAACAATCAATATACAAGTTAAATGCGTTTTTATATTGTATACCAAGTAATATTAATCAGGAAGTGCCTTGTATTAAAATAACAATAATTATATTTTATATCTAATATATGTAATCTTCTATTTCGAACATCGCTTGAAATAATATTATTCATTTGAAGTAATACATATGTACATGCAGTACAATACTTATTCGCAATTTCCTTTTAAACTGATATTGCGGTTTTTACAAAGGTTTGGTATATATATATATTGAAATATGTTATATTGAAAAATTACATACACAGAAAAATAAGTCATGCTAAATTGAATTTAATTCTGTGTTTGTAATTTAAGTGTGTAACTTGTTGATGAAATTACCATAATATTAGATAAATTTTACAGTTTAGTCAATACTATGGATAATATTAATATCTATTTAGTTAGTTATATTGATTGTGGACAGATTTCTTTTATTGTACATACATAGTGATAAGTACGTAATATTATTTTATCTGTGATGTTAATTAAATTCAAAAATATTAGTATTCTTCCCTTAAGTTGTTAAATCAAGGACATTTATTTTACATCCTATAGTCTATTAGTATAAATGAATAAAATCTCTTTAAATTTATGGCAACACTCAATTTCTTGATTATATAATGTTTGTTTCATATTTAATGGCTGTGCTCACACAAAGACACAAACGGCAAAATTATGCGATGTAGTTATAAAACGCAGGATAAGGTTTAGTCTTTCGGTTTCCGTAAGAGTGCACCATTATGCAAATAAGTTTAATGTCACCTTACCTACAGACCCACCTAGCTACACATCTTATATATGTACGTAGTCTATTTCACCAGTAACTTAATAGTTATATCACTTTAATAGCATGATTAGAAATTTATTTTATTTATGAATACTGTTTTCTAGTTCATTATTATGAGATTGCCAAACCAACAAAAGTATATTTTATTCATAACCCTTGATCTCAAATGTAATATATACCCAAAGAGGGCTTATATATATATATATCTATATATAGATGTTACTGATCGCTATTTTACAAGGAATATATATGAGTGAACCTATTATTGGGGGACTTTATTCAATCAATAGAATTCAAAACAATGATAATTAGATTTTTGTCTATGTCTTTAAGCGCTGATCTCAGACACACCAGATTTGGGCCCTGTTATCATTAACGTATTAACACTTACAATTTAGTGTAACATACATTTAATTGGGGTATAAACAAAAATGTAAATTATTGTTATTCTGAATACTACAGTTAGTCCTATTAGAAGTATTTGTGGGTAACTACTTATATAGTCAGTTATGACAAAAGAATTAAGATATCATTGTCAATATATACATATAATATTTATCTGACCTGTATGTGGGGACCGGCCAAGCATGCGCTGCGCATGGTAACCGGACGTTTTGTCCGGATTGTACCCGACGTGACCGCGTTTGCACTGCTACTCGAGGTCTCACACCGCCTTTTGGCTCTGTTACTATTATATGGCCTGCGAAATATAATTATTATTAATATATAGTTTTTAATGTAACTTAAATGCTAAACAAACTGACGTCCTGCATATGGTAAGTGGTAACGGGTCCCTGTATATTTATTTATGTATACGATTTTTTGTGAGAACTTGATCGTGTAATAAAAATCGGAGATACTTAGGGATTTTTTAAATAATTTAAATTGATACAATAATGTTTAACGATCGCATCGTTAGCGATTTAGAATCTCAAAGTATAACCATCGACGTTTTGTCTCTGCCCCGCTGAAATTGCGACGTCGCAGTTTTAAAACTATATTTTAGGTCACATATTTATAGATCCGTAGTTGTGTTCATGTAGGTATACTCGCATATACGATGCTATAGGCGAGAACTATGTTTTGAAGACTGTTGGTAAGGAATTTAAAGGTTCGAATTCCCAATTGTATTTTCTGTAGCCTTTGTAGATTAGTTATGTCATTTCGCATTATGAAAATAAATAAAATTCAATTACGGTTATTTATTTTATTTCTTAGCCTTTTGTGTACCGTAATTTTCTTTCAAATTAAATATTCAGTATGAAAGAAAAAGGCGAAATTTTTCAATTAAGTTCATAGAACAAAGAAATTAGGTGTATTATTATAAGTCTAAGAAGTCATTGTTTCATACATCTAATAAATTAATATTTCTGTATAAGTACTAAGTATCTACTCACTGTTTCCGGTTTTCATACTCATTTTTCTCATATTATGTAAATGAGTATGTAGAAGGAAATTCTACCCACACATTTAGGTGCTGTTGCGTATTTTCACTTTTAGAAAAATTAATGTACCGGAATAAAATATCTTCAGACGTCGGAATTCAGCGACATTTCTGATATAATATTATTACAATGAACGTGCGAAAAGACCAAGACATCCGCCGGCATATACCATTGTCGCAGTCGACACATGCCTCGATTTTAGTCTCTTTTGAATACTTTATTAGGCGAGTGGAAATATAATTTGTTATAGATAGAATTTTTTCTTTAACATAAAAATCAAATCTACAGAGTGCATATAAAAGAAACGCTATTGTGACCACGTTTGTTTTAGTACATAATTCTAATCGAACTATCAATAATGACAAATTCTATATGGAATGAGCAGGTAATTTAAAAATAATCATCAATGTCTATTTAGTTTTCAAAATTATATTGTGTAATATATGTATATAAAAAATCCATCGAAAATTAATTGCCTGAAAAATCTTTTTGTGTTTTTCTTAATTAAATGAATACTAAAGAACTATTTGAAAATAAAAAATGTACTTACCAAAATATTGACTGGAATACAAGCTTCCTGTTATCCGATCCCGGACACGGCACTGGAACACATTGTATCGATCGTCCGGACTGACGGAGCTTATGTACAGTGATCCGTCATCCAGACCTTGGTATTTTGACCCTGGGAATAACGATTGGGGGTAAGTTATGTTTCATACATTTTTAATTAATATCAGCATTTATACGACTTACGCTTTATGAAGTAAATATTCTATTTATTCATATATATACTTCCATAAATATTAAGTTTCATATCATCATAACGTATCAGTAATTAAGGTACATATTGTTATATATAATAAAAAAAATTAAGGAGCTAGCTGTTACCCGCGACTTTATCCGCTTTTTTTATCGAAACTTATGTCTGTTATCGTGACAATATCTATCTTCAGGTTAAATTACATTAAGTACAGACTATTTAATATGTAATATAAAGGTTAACAAATACACATTTCCATATCATTAAGTACAATAGTTACAATAATTAAATGATCGCTTAGCAGCAAAGCGTAATTAAAAGGAAGAAAACGATATTTACTTCTCTTATATACAAGAAACCGGTAAATGTGTTATTACATTCTGCAATTTCATACCTAATAAACAATCCGTTAAATTTTATACAATCCTTTTGTAGCACGTACTTGCAAGTTAAACATCGTGCCAAATTTCAAATTTGTAGGATTTCGTGACGAGTCGGCGAGTAAGCAGTAGTGAATGAAGGTATTATGAAGTTGTAAACTCACATCTATACCCTTTATTGCAGATGTAAACTAAGATGAACAGCAATGTTTTTCAATTTATATTCAGAATATTGTATAAATAATTTAAAGTAAACTATTATTATAACTCACAGAGACGGTTACAAAGAATGGTCTCAGAAAGAAAAGTCTGAAGCTATATCTTTGCAGCAATGCTTAGGTACTTTTTACACTTTGATTTGTTTTAGATTATATTTTGTATATTATTTTATATAGATATACGTCCAAAATATATACAAGTATTGTTAAATAAATTTTTCGCTGATACAATATAATAGGGCATAATTATAAAGTAACTGGCTGACCCGCGCAACTTCGTCTTTTGATACTTACTTGACATTTATCATTATATTTCGCCCAATTTATATAATATCTTTTTAAATTATAGCTTATATGTGTTATTGTGATGTATAAGCTAAATTAGTGTAAAGTTTCATTAAAATCCGTCCAGAAGATAAAGACTAAAAAATAAAATATTTAACTCATATTTAACTGTCATGCATTTATTAATAATAATAATCATAAAAAGGTTGTAAGAAAGAAACCATTTTTAGAAATCGTACTAACAGATGAACAATGTGAGTTAAAAGATTTCCTTATTAAAATATATTTACAGACTGATGTTCTGTAAAGTAAAAAGTTGGTCTTATTTTCTTCAGTATCACAGCGACGTCATGGCATGGGTATCTAATATTTATTAAGTAGAATAGGTATTATAAAGAAAGACTTCAAATTAGTTGCATCCAATACAACTAAAGAAGGAACATGAAAGGAGACCGTTCAAGTTCCGTTTAAAGCGTCGTATTTTTCATTGGCCAAAATGAGATTTGTGATGAAAATGTAATTGCGTGTGTCGCGCGTCACTTGACAAGTGTTTTGATGAGAAAATTTCGGCGAGAAATATTTTACGTATTCGCCCTCAGCGCCATATTTTAAGACGTTCAAGAATTATGGTTATTTTGCTCATTTTTGCGTGAGATAAATTCGATAGAATGTGTGATTAATGATGATATTAATGCTGCCAGTGTTAATATTTTCCCATGTAGATAGCTACCTATTTGTTCAAGTTCCACACAGGTAGATGTAGCAGTATTATGAATATAAAGTTTTAGTTGTTATTTATTCTTTCTTTGGTATAAGTATCCGTATAAATAAGAAAAAGAAACTGAGCGTGCAATTTTATGTTAATTACCCTGTGAATTCCGCACCGTAATATTACGTTGTTAAGAATTTTAGATAGTTTTAAAAAAATATACTTAAATTATTTATTATAAATAGTAAAACTTAAATATAACGTAATATTATAAATGAAATTAATACTGTGATAAATCAATGAAGGATTATCAGTTCAATTCATTAAACTAAGCAGATACTGATGATCAGTGTCCCTTCACTAGCATAACGAGAGATAACGTAGTGTTACAAATACTTACAGCTGAATTAATAAATTTGAAGAAAAGCAAAACTGAAGGACTGTAAATTAATAATTAAAAGGGTTGGTGGTGTAAAATTAAATAATGAAAAATATTTCATGTGTAAGAAGAATTGATAATGAATTATAGAAATATGACAGTTATTTTAGATTGTATAAAGAAACTTCTCAATTCCACGTATAAAAAGGCATTACATATATACATAGACATATCACACGATATCATTGCTAAATCTCAAGAAATATAGACAGTAATTGATTATTTTGATGGATGGGACCATCAAAACAAGTAATTTCAGCTCGAATAAAGTCGACTTGTTTTTTTGTGGAATAAAATCTTTATTTAATACATAAATTATCAACCGTCCGTCATACATATACCTATAATAGAAATAGGTACAAAGCTTTGCCTAAACATTTACTCATTTAACCTTTTTTCTTTTACAACTCCGCAGCTTTTCCCATAAAACGAAAATTGAAGTTTATATTGTCCCTGGAGTAGAATAGGCACAAAATTACTTTCAACTGACGCCACTATGTACGGACATATTAAAAATAATGAAAAAAGTACTATCTGTACGTAGTAAGTTTGAAATATCAAGAGAAACATTAATATCAGGTAATCATTGATATAAGTACTCAGGCAAGAGTATTTTTTTTATCATAGTTATAAATAGCCATTACAGTCTGTAATAGAAACCTATAGGTCTGTAAATAATGTTTCTTACTTACATCACTGAATTATTAGTAAATACTAGATAAATTTTATATTTTACTCGTAATAATTAGTAGGTATTTGACACATAAAATGTGAAGTTTAAATAATTTTATGCCACTACTACTGAGTTAGTTTTTCCAAAAGAATAAGAAAATATTAATGTGTATAAAGAAAATATTAACTATTAATTACGATATTCATTATTTATATTATTTTTTTATATTAGCAAAATGTAATAAACACGAAACTTATTACACATATTATTAAATTACGTGTCAAAATAAAATAAGAAAATTATCTTAGGTCATTTATTTTCTTTTGTAGTCTGATTGAGAAAATAATCAGTTTAAAAATTGAGCAAAATATTGTAGCGATTGTACTTTGCTTAGTTGTATGCTTATATTTTTGCTTGCGTCACTAAATAATATTATAATCTTTGTATCCAACTACGTTCTTTTTTAGCATAATATAAATGTTAAAAATTGGTTACATACATATATATACCTAGTAGTTATATGTATATAAATTAAGTGGTTTTGATTCAAGAACGAATACGAATTATTCATAATTGTTCAATACCTTTAAAGTGATTACTTACCTAAGTACTGCAGTACACTGATTTCATCATCAGTGAACCAGTCCGTGCTACCGACCCTGTCGGCGCAATGTGCTGGTACCACGCAGCGCAATATTGCCGCGTTTCCCGCTATCACGTACTCATCCGGCACGTGCACCTCCCACGGGATGTTCAATGCTGTTAAACAAACGAGTATCAGCATAACAGGCCCCAAAAGACTGCAACTACAAAGTAATACACAAGCTAATGTTAAAGATAAGAGTAGGTAAAACGAGGAAAAATACACCGTTACCGATTTCTTCCTTACACATTGGCTGTTTGCTACGTGCTGTTTAAAGTATAAACTGGATATTGCCGTGCCATTTCACAATTGTTTGAGCGTAGTTCACGGCAGTTACATTTTGTAGAATTCAATTGAACGGCATGGATTTCTCAATTTATAGGAAATAGTTTCCTAAATAACTTACATTTTTATATTCAAATGTTGGTCTAAATTCAAGCGTTACAAAAGTTGCATTTATTACAACAAGGGTAAAAGAAAATATTTCAAACTTTTACTCTGCTGTACGGGTATTGCAGATATTTGTTTTCCATTATTTACCTTTAATTACCTATTTAAAAATCAAACATTTATACTAATACAAATGTACTATATCGTAATTTTATCATTTATTTATAAATAGGCAGTTAGCGCTGTTTGGTATTATACCATTAATTCAAAGTATAATAGAGGACTAGGCATCTAGAAGCGCTATTGTTACTCTCAATCATCGTGTTTATTTAATTATACAATGTAATGAATATCGACTCGAAGTAAACACAATTGTTAACGAATACATACCTAAGTACTTTATCAATCAATTTCAATCTCTGCGAATGAAGTAAATACTGTCTAGAATTGTTTCTCTTAGTAAATACAATTTAGGAAACGTTTAATAGACGCTATTATAAAATATTAAAGTTTAATATTGAATTTCGTAGTATTATTACACTGATTGCGACAAGCATTTTGCTCTGGTGAAATACCCTAGTGGTTGCTTCGTGGTAGGTAAATGATTTTTATAGTAATTTATAGTAACATTTAATTTTTCTTTTACATAGAACAGTCTACAACCGAGACTGGCGAATTAGCAGTTTTATTTGGAGTTTCTTTAGTCGTAGTCTTAGTCTAGTCTGAGCGTTGACAAGAAAGTAAAGTTCACACCGAAAGGAGTAGCTGTTTGGAGTAGGTCTCTTTTTTTGGAAAACTGACGAACGCTATATTTTAGGATTTATATCTCTGGGCATTACACACAATGAATTAATGCCTACCCTAGATCAAGCATTTCTTCCGTAACAGGTCAAGTTAGCTAATTGAATTAGTTTAGTACTAACAACTTAGGAGACAGTCGTGTTCCTATTATAGTTTAGTCTTAGTTTCCATGGTCGTAGGTTAGATTTCTAGTACGGTATAAACATCCGTATGGATGAATATGATTATATAAGGCTAAATTAGATTTTACATGGATATTATGAATGTATAATATTTATAAAAGAAAATGTATTTAAGTATTTCTCTCAGTTGTCTAGTATCTATAAGAGAAACTCTGCGTAGCTCGACTACATGACGTTGTGTGAATTGTACAAGGTTATTATTAATATAGGTTGAATTGTTGCTATTTATGATCCACTTGATAGTCATAAACATTTTCTTTTTTATTTTTAAACCCGTGCAGTTTTTTTATGCTGATTGTACTTGTCCATGTTAATGAAATGTATTTTCTTTATTTCGTCTACATATGTATAGGGCTTATTACCTTAAACAGTTTGGAGGAGCCCGCTATGAAGCAGGCAAATATTTAAATGTTAATTGTACTTGTTCAGAATAAGTAGATAAGTAAATTCATTTTCCTCATTTCATTTCCACGCTGGTAAGTTAAGTAAGTATATAGTTAGACCCGACTGATTATGTGCAATGCAACTTTTCTTTTGAGTATTTTACAAGGACATATACTGTTCTAATATGTAATATTATTTTATCTGTAGTTATACCTTTAAATTGTATTGTGTTGTAACGTAACGTAGTAAATTTTGTTACTGATTTGACTTTAATTTAATATAAACTCTTTTTTAAAATATTCATGTTTATCAAGATCGCATTGTCTCTAAATTGTTTTGTTAGTGTATTATCTGTGCAATAAAGATTATATATTAATAGTATTGTTTCATATAACATATGAACAGAACGTTGTTAGGTAATATGTTTACGTGACTATAACGTTGGTTTTATGTTTAAAAGCTTTTACATGTTGATAAGTGATTTGAAGAGAGTAATGAAGGCTTATGGGGCTGTTATTTGCTGATCTTGAAACTGCTGTAAATTTTAAATAAATAAATGATTCTCGAAGGTAAAGGCTTATGGAGGTTTATCTAATAATGGAATGGATATTAGTTACGTAACGAACATACATAGAATGGTAGGTATAATGATTATTTATGCACACATTAACTTTTCAACTCCATGTATGTATCATCCAAAAAAGTTTCATAAAAATCTAAAACTCCTAAATAAGGTGTTTTTGTTTAAATGTATGAACATTTACAATGTATAACCTAAATAATAAAATTATTTAAGGGTTAAGCATTCTAATGTTTACTTGGTCTGAAATGTGTACCTTATTATGTCTTTTAATTTTTTTAATTAAGTAGGACAAGTTTTGAGAGCGACATTTCAAAACACCACACTGTAGTTACCCATCGATATCTATTATTCAACCAACAACTTATATATTCGAGTATATAATTTTTAAAGTAAATATTTAATTATAGGTAGATATCCCTTATAATAACAAGATACTTGGAAATAAACAAAACATAAATAGGTACAAGCTTAATAAATGCAACCTTGTTTATTAGTACCAGTGATAATAAATATGCCAAATTCCTTTTAAATATTTTTATACTATATATACATATAATAATTACTGCTTTATTATATTATTTTTAATAATACTTTCACTCGATTTTACGTATCAGATATTTAGACGTTTCAAGTATATTGACTCAAATCTTACCTGCGTGTACATGCATATTTCTGGATAACACAGCGTAACCGCTGCTGAATCTTATTCTACATCTATAGGTAGTGGAGTGTACGTCCCGCCGGTAACTGTCAACAGGGAACGGCGGAAGTTCAAGGGAGCCATTAGCCAGCACCCTCCGAAGACCAAGCACCGCGTTCGCCGGTGTATTGTCCAATAGAAGCCAGTCCAGCTGCAATGATAAAGTCAGTTTACGACACAGTCTTCAGTCATACCAGTGGCACTTCGTGCGAAGGAAGCCATTATTATTGCTAAAAATTGCATATAGATGGCGTGATTGGTATCGATGGAGTTCTTCATAGTTTTGCAAACGTTTTAAAAAATAAATCTGTGTTTTCAAAAATGTTTAATCTATTTTTAAAAAGTTATATATACATGTTAAAATGAAATAATGCGTTTAGAAAAGTAATTATATTATCTGTGGTCATATATATATGAAATTTAGTTGTTCTAAAATTGCTAGATATGGTTTGATTCTTCATAAAATAGCACAGAAAATATAGTATTGAAATTTTGGAAGTTATAAAGTCGGTAATAATTCGAATGTTTTCCACTAGATATTGACGCAGAGTAGAGGTTGTGGTGTTAAGATTTTACAATGACAAATTTACGAGCCCTAATTACAGATAAACAGGTATGTATCAACCATCTACGTAACTTTAGATAAAGGCTCACTTACACTCCAGCATTCACCGATTCAATTCAACATGGGTATTGTGTGAATTGGGACAATGCGGCAGAAGCAATAAGTTTGAACCGATCTGGATTAACAATTGGCTTCGTGTGATTGGTCCTATGTATAGACGACGATATTTGTGTTTGAAGAGCATATCATTAAAGCTCTATGGGGAGTTCAAGATTATTTTCAGGTAGGCATTGATATATAATTAGTACTCGATCGTCATAAGTATGATAGTTCGTGGATAACTCTATAAACTTATATGTAAAGTAACCAATGTTGCTGATTTTTTTGAGTTATAGAATTATTTTTGAAATTTTATCAATTACGAATAAATAAAAGACGATGCTAATAAGAAAATAAAAACAAAAAATGTTAATAATATAATTAAATTTAAAGAACACCACAAATATACACGGTTTTACTAGAAATGATTTTAGTTTCTCAATATCTACTAGAGCATAACATATGAAGTGTAATGCTCAGGTTAACTTTCGTCATCGCTATACTAAGACGTAGTTTAGCGATATTCTTCGGTTATTTATAAGATATCTATTATGATGTGTATTATACATACACGTTATCAAAATTGTCAATATTTAGTCTTTATGTGTTCCGGAGTTCACATGTTCCTACAGATGGTTGTACGGAATAGAAGTTTCCTGTACTTTTATTCTCGCTCATAAAAACGCCCGCGGAACCACTCGACGTTCATGCCAATGCGCTCACTGCGTATTTCTCTTTAATTTGCAGCACTATTTCGTGACTTTCAATGGTCTAACACTTTTTGTTTTTGTCGCTTGACGCGAATAATTACAGGATAGTGCAGAAGCGTTGACTCGTAGCCCTCCGATTAGGTGAGGGATCAAGATATAAATAGTACGTAGTCAAAATACTGTAATATACTTTATTTTGATTTTTATTTACGTAGAAAACAAATTCTCTTGTTGTAGTCTTAAAGTAAATTATAATTAGTTTCACTAGAAGCGTTCCTTGAAAAAATTCATGCTGGCTGGCATTATGTACTGTTATTTTAAGCGCATTCTATATTTTCTTACTTTGTGGTTAAGTAAAATATGTAAGAATTAGAAAAAATATTTTTTTAAATGATTATTAACGGTATTTATTTAAATATAAGTATCATTCAACGTTACACGGATATTTGACTTAAAACCTACATAGTGGTTTATATGAATATGAAATATTCTTTTCTATCTTTTGAAAGAGGTTTATGTTTTCCTTTCAGACAGTCGCGTCTGCAATGTGAAAAATGGGAAGACTTTCACGTATTGTTGTAATGCCAACATACGTATTACGTGTTTACAAAATATTACCAGTCTAACGTGAAATACTGGAAATACTAGGTGTTTTTATTTAACTATTATCTATTGAGTCTTACAACTGTCCTCAATTTCACATAATGGAAACGATGTTGTCAAAGACTTAGCTTCTAATTTTAGAAATAGTTCTTACCCTTTAAATTTGAGCTGCATTTCCTACTTATAACGGAATTTTTTAAATACTCTTCTTACGTCACCTAGGTATATACAAAATATGTGGAATTTTAGGAATTTTTAATCCCATTAGTATTACTTTGTATTAATAATACCTTAGGATGACCAATTAGTTAATTACTCAATTATTTACATACATAATGCTCAATTAAATAAATTAAATATCCAATAAAATGTGTAAAATATGCAACAAGATTTCACTTCAAAACACATTTTTCGTATAATTCCATTTTCATGTTATTCTCTACAGCTACTTTTATTAGGAAGGAGTGCCAAGAAAATAGAACGAACGTACATAACGCACAATTGCTCTGAATTAAGGAAAACGACTAGCCCCTCGACTTATATAAACCCACAAGATGTTCTTACGTTGCGAATTTTAAGTCATTGTATAACTTTTTAGAGAAAAAAGAAAGTTGGCGAGACATAGCGGTTTCGTGACAGTTAAATACGTTACAACACGATATTTATAATACTTTAGGGAGTGTGAGGGAGTGTTATAAGCTCGAATTTTGCTCCCCTGCGTGTCTTTTGCGTGCCACCGTTTTTCCCAACTTTTGTTTTGAAGTAAATATTTGTGCCTGTGCAATGTCAGTTCATGGACCGGGGGGGTCGAAGCAAATTTATTTTATTAGACTAGTAGCACCTTACCATTTCATCTGCATGATAATAAAAAACAAACTGGAGGTAATTATTAACAGAGAAAAGTTTTATCTAGGGCCTATATATAATACGACCACTGCTGGTATCTTCAAAAACCTATTTCATTAATTTGTGTTGAATATACGTAGACCTATCGAAAAATTCTGATTACTTCAGTCAGCAGCAATCTATCTGATCAGGATAGGTCTCTTGGATTTCCATCCTTTCCATTCAACAATTTTATTAATTAGTTACAACATTGAAGAATCATTTTATTTCAACGTAGCAGACTTCGGTTTAATTAAAATCAAGGCTATTCACAACACGTTTCATTAAATTCAAGACAAATTCTTCTTAATTAATTAAATAATTTCTTTCACTAAGCTTATTTTTACGTTTCCCCTAATGATGTTTTGTTTGTCCTTGTGCTTGGCGGGGTGCCGCATTAAAACGTTATGAGCCTAGGGTTGCTATAGAAAGAATAAAATAAAAAAACTTTTGTTTTTAATAATTCCAGTTACTAATCTATGTATTAAACCTACCTACTACATTATTAGATTATGCTAGAATTTTTTTGTACATAATTTTTTATATACATTATTTGTCTATATAGTGCTTAAATATAGAATTACTCGTATTGTTTAAAAAGTTCTTTCGACTTTATTAATTATCATTTATAACGCGAAACGGTAATTTGGGTAGATATTTAATTTAGAACTAGGTTGTTATATAATATACATTAATTTGACTAATAATGACATAAAGGTAAATTGTAATGTTATTTCAATTACACGTTACATTGTCATAGCAATCTAATACTTATATCGTTATTCTATTAAGAGGATATATATCGTTATTCTAAACAGGGTTAAGATGGTGAACCATGGATTCAATGAGTTGTGGCTATAATAGTGTTGTCCAAATCTTATAATATTGTTTTTATTCGTCTTTGATGAACGATAATTTTGCATCTCTTATGGAGGTTAATCGCATATTACTTTTATTGTTTAATGGTTATAAACTCTCTAAGTAGTTAGAAGTCGTGTAAAAATGTTAGCATCCTAAGATATTTACAAATAAGTTTGTTTTGATAAGTATAATACGAACACAAATGAAGGTAATTGTAGTTGATATTCAATCACACGTTACACACTGTCATAGCTATTGTTTGTGTTGTAATTTCTATATTTGATATGAGAAACCTCTCTACTTTACCTTTATACTACAATGAACGGTATATTGAATTTTGATGACTTTATCACATTATTCTGTATGAAGAAGTGAAGTTAATGTAACTTATAAAATCTGAATCTAATAATAGGTGCTACTATAGGATCACAAGTGAACATCTACACTGACAATTGTCTATAAGAACTGTATAATAAAGAATAAAGAATAAAGAAATAACAGTGAATAGAAGAATTGCAATTTTGTACGAAAATATTGACACTAAGCAGGAAATCTCTAATATTAGCGGCGCTACCTTCGTCCGCGTTGGATACCCCGTTGAATATTTTAAACGGCTTAACATCCCAAGCATCTGTCACATAAAACTCACGGGCTCAATATGTTTAAACTAAACCTATTTATTGTTCGTAAAATATATATTGTGTCCATTTTTATAGTCAGTATAAAATGCAAAGTATATATAAGGATTCATGAAAGTTGACATTGTGGTAAGCCTTATAAAGGGGTCTTTGTTGTACCTACTTTATTTTAGGGACAGAAGGCCTCATAACGTAGCCCGATATTTGTCAGTACATTATTATCAGGGGTCAAAACGGTGTTTGGTTCGATGTGTTTACTACGCAATAAAATAGTTTAGGTTATACTTAATCTTACTTTTGTTTTTAAAAGAGAAAATTTACAGGATGTCATGGTTATTTTGAAATGTGTAGAAATATTGATTCTTTATTTTGTTATTGCATCCATACCACTATTAATTTGGAGATACCTGTTTATTTTATTCAACAGTAATAATTACGCAGATTAGACTTAGTGTATTACTTGCAATTTAAAATTGTTTTATAAATAACTTATTATAATTCATTTACTTACAGTACTAATATTTTTTAATAGATCTAAAGAGCTGTGGGAAAATTAATTGTCTGTCCACAAATTAAATTAAACTAAATATTAATGCCTAAGCACTTCTGGGAGAAAGCTGCATTGGCTAAAGAAAATACTTACCTCCCTCTTATTTGAGTAAATAAAAATGTTAAAACAATATTTTACTTTTATACCACATAAAACGGCTCCTAAATGATGCTGCTCTGTGATTTTGATTACGCAGCTGATGGTATTTTATCGTTTTTATTTGCATTTCTACAACTCCTC